TAAGTCCTGCTTTCCAGAGTAATTATTCTCCTGCAATGAATTCATGTCTCATCTACATGTATACATAATATTTATTGCAATTTGTATCTTTCTTTCTATTTTCCATACTCTAGATGTATCGTGTTTCCAAGGTTTCTTCAACTTTCCTGACATGCAGCCCATCCTGAAGCACTTCTGTGTCTATCATATCAATGCACCAGGGCAAGAACAGGGGGCAGCACAGCTACCAGAGAAGTATGCTCAACATCACAACTCTTCTATTTTTTTAAAAATTGATTGATGGAACTGGTTGATTGATTCAAAAACATGCATTTAAAATAGCAGCCAAATGCTGAAACAAATCAAATTTACTAAAGATTTTTAAAACACGCTAAAATACGATACATTGAAATTTGTTCTACAAAAGAGGAATAATATTGCACAAAGGAATATACGGAAAATAATAAAATAAAAAGGAAATGAAAGAAGACGGATATTGAAATGTTTAAGCTGTATTTTGTAATCGATTGTTGATGGATTTCTGAAGAAGTTTCTATTACTGTCGGCCCTTTGAAAGCTTTGTCAAAAGCACTTTATAAATAATTATTATAATTATTTACAAAGTTTTTTGTAAAGACTGGTGCACTTTGCACATGGTCTTTGCAAAAGTGCTCAGTCATTAGGGTTATTTGGCTCACTGTTATTTATATATTTGTTTATTTGAATTGTTCTATTCATAAAAATCACTAACCATTTTAAATAGATGAACAAATATTGAGCTGGCGTTTTCCTAACTGAAAAGTTACTGAAGTTGATTAAAATGGTGACAAATTGGTGATGTCATTTGAAAAACAATAAAACAGAGTTTATATTCTATTACTCATATGGAAGTGGACAAATTTGAAAAAGATATAGCCCTAAGAACATTTCACAGTTGGTTAGATACCTGTCATGCGTTTCCATGAATTCATATGATTCTGATGGAAAATGTTAGGCCTCACAGTTTTTGTTTGTGGTTATTATTATTGTCATTATTCTTCATTTTATTTTGTATTGCTACCACGTGCTTGCGTCATTACACATCTTTTGTCAACATGTCATATCTATTTTTATTCATCTTTTCAGCTTTGAGTACCCAGACATGGATCACTTAGCAGAGACTCTTATCAGTGTACTTAATCACTTCAGGTAAGTATTTTTTTCATTTAATTTTTTTTTATAAACGTAAACTGTTCAGTATATCAGTCAGCCTGAGGTTTCCTGACATTATTTTAACCTAATGAGGAAATAACAACATATGAGGAATATTAAGTTTTGTACTTTGTTGTGGAACCATGAATATTACCTTTAATATCTATCTAGTGTAAATATTTTTAGCTCTGATTGTCATTCAGTTTGAACCCTTTTTAATAGAGCACTCAAACTTGTGAGGAATAATCATTTTGTTTTTGAAAAACTCAAAGTTTCATTTGTTTTAACCTTCTTAAAAAATAAAGAAGAATAAGGTACTTTTTAGTGGTAGAACTATGAAATTGTCACCTGTAAATTTAAACACAAGCCTACATGCAGGGCACCCCCCCCCCCCCCCCAAAAAAAAAAAAAAAAAAAAAAATTATAAAAAAATAAAAAATGAACGAATCAATGAGACTTTGATTAATGTTATTCTTCAATAACACTATCAGTGGAACTTGTTTCTTGATTTCTCTCTCTCTCTCTCTCTCTCTCTCTCTCTCTCTTTTACAGACTTAAGAAATTCATTGGCTTTGGAGTGGGATCTGGTGCAAATATCTTGACAAGGTTTGAGGTAAGCTGAAATTGTTTTTCCACTTTTCTTTCTTCAGAAGGAAAAGGAGTCAACCGTGATTCACTGTGTAATATGCTCAGTAAACTTCCAAATAAAAAAGAAAACAAAGCTGATTCTGTGATATTCTTTAATCATTGATGCATAGTTCAAAGTTGATATTTGTTTTTTCGAAAAAAAAAAGAAGGGAAATCAAATGGAATGAAAATAAAACAGGGATGCATGTCCCATTGCCATATTGTATGATGCTGGATTTTGAAATGTGGTTCATCACAGAGCAAGGACCCAATTTGAGCAAGATGACCATTACATTGTGCTCGGACCTGGACTTCAGTGAACTCAACTAACAAAGTAGTGAAGTATGAAAGTGAAAGTGTACTGCTTGATAATTGATTGATTAATGGATTATATTCTTATCTCGTATTCATAGCTTGCTCACCCAGAGTACATAGAGGCTCTCATACTGGTCAACTGCGTATCAACACAGTCAACATGGACAGAGTGGATGCAACAAAAGGTATTACAATGATATAGGATGGATTTGATTTAGAGAAAGAGAGGAATGATGTTCATGACATGGTTTATAACAATAATAATATTTTATGATTTGTAAGGCATCAAATTCGGTTGAAAATCAAATGCTTGAGGCGCAGTTGTGCAAGAAAGGAAACCCCATAAAAGCATCTGCATTATTAACAAAAGGACAACAGGAGTATTAGATAAAACTTACAAAAATGAAAGAGATCAATGAAGTATATGCCGAATCAAACAGACACTTTATTAGATTATTTTTTATTACCTCAACTGATCTACTATTACAAATGATTATGATTATTAGTAATTATTCAAGAATTTTTTACGCCTGTGAGGGAGGGGGGGGGTGAGCGAATGTAGTCATGAAATAAACAAACATTTTGTATTGTATGTGAGAGTGGGAAGCATGATTTCTTCCCTCTAACCCTTAGCTTTGCTCTCAAAGTTGTAGTCCAAAGTTGTAGAGTGCAACTCGTATACAGAGGACCTCCATGGGGTTTCTTTCCCAGAGGTATTTTCCCGCTGTTTTCTTGATAATTACTGGGAGCAGGAGAGATGCACAATCACAAAATATTTTTTGGCTGCAGTTATCAGCTCAAGCTCAAGTTGAACATGTGACTTGCCTGTGGCTTTTTTATTGGCAATTGAGCCTACTCAACTTGTATTTTCTGTAATGATCCTCAATTTATGCCAATTATTCAATATATTTAGATATTGAAACTTCCCTGCTTAGCAAAAGTGTTGTTTTACAAGTGCATTTAGCATAATGTGATGTAACTGCTTTCCAGCCTTTTTTCCAGAAGATTTTCAGGGCCTTGGGGAAAGAGCAGATAAAAGTTATGAATTATTTATGAACTTCTCGTTTCACCATTGCAGCTGTCAGCATACTACCTAAGAAAGAATGGCATGACAAACTACACACAAGAATACCTTCTGTGGCACTACTTTGGCAAGGTTTGTAGCACATTGAACTACTGATTTCAAGTGATATTCATATCATTCTTTTTAAATATTGTAGTTGTATGTCTCATGTATGTATACCTACATGTAAATGGTTTGTGCATATGTCTGTTTGTTTTCTTCTCTGTCTTCTGGTTTATTTTCTTAAGTGGCATTTCCAGTTTCCTTTTTGTGAATCTATGCCATCGAGGATGAGATATATTATGAATGATATTTGTTTTGTGTGATTTTAATAAATTGCTTTATCCCTGTTATCTCACACAGAGTACAATGGAAACACATCATGAGCTGGTGGCACTCTTCAGGGAGAATCTTGCTAAGAATGTGAACGCTTTCAATCTCTCACTATTTGTCAACTCATACATCAGGTAAGAACTACTTCTCTATCTTTCATTGTTTGCTAGGCATCTTATGATATTCATTGTGGAGAGCTGTTAGGTACACTTATTATAGAAATGTTTCCTAGTAGTACTTAATTGTTCCGAATGCAGTTTAATAATTCTTTCTCGACTCATTTATTCCTTGCATTTCAGTTGGCCTTCAAGTGATATAGATTCTAGTAAATAAATGAATATACCGTCAGTTTCGTAATATTTCATACAACTCACTTCTAGATCCTAATCGAATGATTGGTCAAACGCAGTCATCTGTAATTCATTTACAGAGACTATCCCATGTTTTTTCATGAAAAAGCATGCAATAGTTCTGGTACTATCCAACGATTTTAAAGTATGCATAGCGTGTAGAGGTCAGTGGGCTTATTTCTGTGTGTGCGCTAAACTAAGCTTAATACTTGGGATTTATTTGTCAGCAATAGTGACTCGAAACAATTTTGAAATAAATTCTTTTTCACATGTACATGTACAGCAAATAACAAGAATCCAGAAGTTTCATTGTATAAAACAGATGATGCATGTTTTCATATGTTTGTTTAATGATTTATCTGCTCTCATTGAGCCTGTAGGCACCTATCGTATGAATCATGATGTCTTTGTATGAAAGATGCATACAGCCTCAATTCGATGTGCGGATAGATCGTATTATGACCTTCAAATGCATCGTCTGTATACTGTTCTTGTATAGTAAATTGATGTGCTGCCAAAGGTCATAAGTACCGTGACTAAGACTCAAACCCTGTACCTTGCAATTCGACAGGCCGGTGGCTTATCCCCCAGTGAAAACATAATGATATTGTCTTTATGTCTCATCTCTTATCCCACCACACAGACGAACAGACCTGAACATCCGACGTGAGCTGGATCCGTTCAAACAGAAGAATCTTCGCGGCGTGAAGGCTCACAGTATGCTCATCGTAGGTGCAAATTCACCTCATGTCAACGATTCGGTAAGCACTACTTTCTAATTGTCAACCAAAGGCAGCTTGGGTGGTAGATAGATAAATGTTGCAATGCTGCTGGTCAGTGTTGCGAATTGCGAAAGTGTATATGTATTGGTGCAATTGTTTATATTAATCCTATTCTGACTGGGCGTTTTGGGAAACCCCCCCCCCCCCCCCCCAAGTCAGAGTTGGGTTAAACCAGTTAATTTCTTTTACGCTACAAACCAGTATTCTGAGCCTACTGTTACTTTTACCTACATGAAACTTCACAGATTTTGAGATACTAACAAGTTATGGTATTACAAAATTAAATTCTTGTAGTTCTTGAGTGCTTCTTGTTGTTATTGTTACCAATTCGCTGAAGTTTCAGCAGGTCACAAAAATTAATGGTTTTACAATAGTATTTTGTCCTCAGTAATTTTTACCAACTTTGTAGTGTAACACGCAGATCACACGCGGAAACTGGTAGAAAATACTCATCACACCATTCGTTGTGTTGCGGTTCTTTTTATTTCAGGTGCAAAGTGAACAAAGCTAAAGTAAGCTAAAGTAAGCTAAAGCCCTGGCAATCTGGCCTAGAGGACCGTTTCCTCTCGTTCCCGCTTCTTACATGTTGATTGTAATTTGTCAACACCTATAATGACATGTAACACCAAAAGCTTGCAGAGTCGACCTCCCTGCCTGCCCCATGGATGGGGTGCAGTACAGGAGTGAATCTGACAAATACCTCTGCCTTCTTTTATAACAGCTACACTCTCACGGAAGGGTCTTCATTGGGAGGGAGACAGGAAGTCTTTTGTTTTGGAAGTTTGGTTCTTATCTGATGTTTACAATTTGGGGTTTATCTGGCTAAGTTATTACAAGTGTTCTGGAAGGGGGGGGGGGGGTGAGTTACCAACCTTTGACCAAGTGGCCATACATCATTAACTCTCTCATAGCTGTGGAATGTCATGTTTTGGCCAAATTGATAGCTTCTACTCAGAATATGTGTGAGTCATACTTCTTTGAAGTACAAAGTTTGTTAACATATAAACTTCTTACTTTCCTCCTGAGGAGATATTAATTAAAAATAGATAAATATTTTTCACTACAAAACAGTTCAATTTTGACCTGTTACAGTAGTTTACCTTTAAAGTTAACAACTGAGGTTCTTGTATTGCAATATTATAGGTGGAGATGAACGCCCGTATGGACCCAGCACGCAGCCAGTGGATGAAGATGTCAGACTGTGGCGGTATGATCTTAGAAGAGCAACCTGCCAAGCTAGCCGAGGCCATCAGGCTCTTCCTGCAAGGCCAGGGATACGGTGAGTAGAATCAAAACATACAAGGGAAGATGTTAGTCAGTGGTTTGCTCAGCTCTCTGTCTTCATCTACAAACTGACTCTGACGGGGTATGAAAACCTATATGGGAAGATGTGACTTATCTATCGGTACCACCAGTGGTACGCTAAGCTCTCTGCCTTTGCCTACAATAAACTGACTCTAATAGATTATGGACCAAAACTGAGTCACGTCTTCCGCATATTGATGTTTAGGTCAATCCCCAGGGATCAATTATCATATCTGATTGATACATGTTTGTGAAAATCTTCATTTACACACACACATTTCTAAAAATAATTGAAATTAATTCGAATTGAATTTATTCACCACTGTCATTAAATAATAATTGTTTTCATCTAGTGATTTACCAGTTAACAAGTAACTGTCCAAAGAAACTCGATACTATTACCCCTGTCATCGGATTTAAACATGATGCTGAACTTTAACAGTGCACGCTCTCCACTCCTTGGGGAGCCTCCATTCAAGCTAGTCACCTTTTTACAGGTGGGAACATGCGATTACAATCACACTGATGTTCACATCATCATATGTGAACCCATTTAAACACCTGGGTGGAGAGGAACAGTGCAGATAAAATGCATTGCTCAAGGCCATATTCAGGTTCAGGAGCATATACTATAATTTTTGTTTACCAGGAGGGTGTTTCGCAAAAATCCTAAGTTGCACTTAAATTTAAGTTGGACTTAAAATTATGGAGAGCTATTTGTAGTCTTAAAATAAAATATTTTCAAAAGCAAAAATTAAAGTATTTTGGACTTTTTATAAATTCCCCATCAAGAACATGAAATCTCCTTGATGATAGAAAATATGAATGATTTGATTCAACATTTTATGCCTTTAAAAAAAACTTTTACAAAGTATTTTCATGGATGCTAACGGCTTTCCATAAATGCTAAGTCCAACTTAGAGATAAGTTCAACTTAGGATCTTTGTGAAACACCCCCTGATGTAATAGTATTTCAATATCAAACACATCATACTTATGTACAATCAATGGTTATGATCATTGTGTCATTAAGAATATGTACTGGAAACATGTCTCATCACTATCAACAATATTATTGTTAATGTCTTTTAAATACTTCTATCATTATTGTTTTGAAATCAACTAAGGAAATGCTAGAATGCTTGCCTGCCTTTTCAGAAATCTGCTTGCCCCATGTTATTTGGCAAGTGCCCGAGTAGTACCCTGCATTATTCCTAGAGTTTTTGAATACCTAAAGTAGAATGACTTTGAGTTCATATTCCATATGCTCATAGTCATGTGAGTTATATTACACACATCTTTAAATCAGTGTATAGCTAATTAATTTTATAAACATTCAATTTTAATCAAGTCATTGTAACGTACAGGCACTTTCAAAGAGGAAACTAGGTTTTCCTGCCATATCACTCCTCTTGTTTTTATTAGTCATATTATAAAAAGTTGTTACGATGACACAAGAAGTGATGAGAAGCACTTTTTTTAAAGATATTCTATATATTTTTTTTTTTTTCAATTTGTGTTTGAGAAGCAATCAAGAGAGGGTAAACTTGTCATTTATCATACTTTAACTGTCATTTTTTTTCTTTCCTTTGAAAAAGACACTTTAATGTATTGCAGATGATTCTTAGCTGTTTTTTCTTATGTTGCATTTTAGCCATCTTTCGCCCTCCATTCATTAAAAAAAAAAAATGCTCTTCATTTCTCACATCCTCTTCTCTCTGTCTGAAACCCATCTTTGTTGCTTGTCCATGTTCTAACCTTGTCTTTCATTTTTTTGAAATAACAACTTGTTTCTTTACCCCTCACTACATCATTTCTTGGAATGCATGGAACCATTAAGCAGTACCTTGGGTGAAATCGTAAATACTTTCGATGTTCTCTCTCTATACATAGAGTCCAGACTCGAAATGCATGGTTTAGCCAGACGGAATGAAATCATTTCAATTTTATCTTTTTATTCTGTTTTATTGTTCTTCTTTTATTTGCGGTCGAGAATGCCTACTTTCAGTGACGGTAGCATAGTCAAGTGTAGTATTAAAAGACTCTTCACATCAGGCCAATTGGGGGTGAACTTAGACCATGTGATACCTTTAAAACGAGTAGATATTAGGAATATATAAACATTTTTACCTGTTCGACTTTCGTACATGTAGGTAGTGACTTTCGTAGGTACATAGCTTTCAGAATCATAGAGATCCCTTTATTTGATCAGTCAGTTTTCATATTCTTCCCCTAAACCTCCAACTATTAGAACAAATTTTGTAAGTTGAACATGCAAACCCAAAATGATAAAACCGAAAAATCCATATATATACTGTATTTATATATATTCTATATCATACCCCTTGACACCTTTCCATGCTTGCACACTCTGAAACAAAGAAGCATTTATGAACAAAAATATCCATCCTGCAGTTAAATCCCAACTCGACTTGCCAGCTTACCTACCATGTAGCCTTTCTCTCACTTTATGTTGTGTCCTGCAATCTGACACGTGTCTGTCTGTCCGTCCTTCCATTGTGCGAGTGTTTGTTGCAAGCAGAGAAGAAAAAAATAACTTTTTTGCTGCTCTTTGGTTTGATAATCCCTGAGAATTCTGTTTACCACAACAGAACAAATTTTCCATATTTGAGAGAGGAACTTGTGTGAACTCTATTTGTATAAGTTCATGTATGTAGTTCATCAACTCTGTGTGAAAAGATTACCCCCATTTGTAGCAGTTTGTCTCAGATTGAAACTATACTCCCAACGTGGTTAGCTTTAGAAGTGAGAAAATAACCCACTAGAAAACCACTAGGGCTGGACACGATCTGACGTTGTTTTTCATCGGCCTGAACAATGTTCAGACTTTTAAATGTATGAAATGATATAAGATGTTAATACTGTGTTCATCTGGTGAGGATGGCTCATTGGTAGAGTGTTGGTCTCGTAACCGGGAGGTCCTGGGTTATAACCTAAGTCGATACGCTAGTGCCCTTTGGTGTGAAGGCATTAATCATTACCAAGCCCCTCATCGGTCCCCTGGTTGCTTACTTACAAGCATATTCTTAGCAGTCAGGTAAACAAACCACTCAAAGTATGAACACTTTAAGATTGTTGATTTTGTCCAGGCCTATCCTAGATTTTCCTGATGTATAGTGTAAAATACGAGTAGTCTTTCAACCTTTTTGCATGCTTATGAGAAGCATGGTGACTTAAAAGAGAGAGAGAAAGAAAAAAGAAAAATCACTTATCAAAACCTTGTTCTTTTCTCCTCATGTCTGTAGATTTTAATGATGTAATTTTGGCCCATTTCTCATTCTCTCCTGTCTCTCTCTCTCTCTCTCTCTCTCTCCACTATTGATGGTTGTTCTCGATTATGTGATGATAGTTGATCGTAAGTGTGAAGTAGACAATGAATTAAGGCCCTTGCCCATTTGACTGCCTAACCACCTGCCTGATACCTTTTGTTTACGTTTGCTTGGTTTTAATAGGAGATTGTAGCATTGTGGAAATGTCTGTCAGTTTCTTGTTGCATCAAGTTTTGATTGGTTATGAATTGCTTTGAAGGCTTTTGTATTTTGTTCATGCATGAGTGTTTATGGATGTTCAATGTTTGCATCATTCAATTTTATTTTTTAATAATTTAAATTCCAGGATCATTGCAACTTTTTCAGTCAGACCTTTTTTTCCCCAGAGGGGGACGCCCGGGATGGGGGAGGGGGGCGGGGGGGGGGGGGGGGGGGGGTGTTTTGGATGAACAAATCTGCAATGTAAAGGAAACATAGTGGGTGCTGTAACCTAGGATAAGTGATAAGGGATACCTTCATAGAAGAGAGATCCAAGTTTTCAATAACTAGAAAGAGCCCATAACCTGAAAGAAGGGGTTGCTTTAATAGTGAGACATCTGACACATAATGAAGGACAAAGCATTAATTGGCAGCTAGCTAACTTTTGAATATTATTCATGATTAGGATACATACATTTTGCATATAATATAAACCTAAGTTACATATATGATGTAACATAGATACATGAACATCTAATTTTGAACTATACAATCAGTGAGAAAGTGTTCATTTGTATGCATGCCTAACAACCCAACTTATCTCTTGATTATTTCCTTAGTTTTTATTTTTAGCATAGGGATTGTACCTAGAATATACTAACCATTATGACACTACCCCCCCCCCTAAAATACAAATACTTAGTTTTGGGTGTTTCTTTTTATAAGTTCTTAAATTTTGCTGTTGCAGTACTACATACAGCACCTGTATTTGAAATCGATTTACGGAAGCCATTCATCAATCATGGAATAGAATGGAATACTGCATTGATGTGTGATTTTTAATTTTTTTTTTGGTATCCCCTGTTAAATTTGTATGAATAGCATTGTATTCCTTTTAAATATTGAAGGTAAATAATATTTTAGAGCTTTGTTTAATCCCACCCTAGCGTAGCGTGTGTGTTTTTAAAATAAATTACTCCTCCCTATATCTGTGTTAACCTAATGGCATTTAGGCAACCATTATTTATAATAAAATCAGGATAACCTTGAAACCAATTGAAACCAATAATTCTGCTTTTAAATACAAAGCATTCATAGAAATCATGCACATTCTCAACCCTATTGTGTAGTTGCACCAAAAATGTGTCTTTTTAAAGAGTAGTTTGCATTTACACTTGTCCAGATGTTATGAATATCTTTCCCTAATTTATGGAATTCAAAATCTAAAGCAATAAGAATTTATACCTTTATCTGTATGTTACCGATCAATGTTTTACCTTTATCTGTATATGTATATACTATTGCATCAATGTTTTGTTTTTGTTTTTATATTAATTCTACCATTTTTTAACATGCATATTCTTGCTGCATATTGTCTGGCATTTATGTATGCTGAATATTACTTATATATAATATTTGCATGGTATTAGTTTGAATTGATAACATTGGACTGTGCATATGATATGTGACTTTGATAATTACATTAATTGTATTTATATAATAAATGCCATATTTCATGTAGTTACATTTAAATATAAATATATATATAGGGGACCCGACATATGCTCCAAGCTTTATTTTGTCTAATGGTATGAAGTTGGGGTTAGAGTTGCAATAGTGTTTTAGGTTAGGTTTAGGGTTAGGGTAAGGTATATTGTTGGGTCTAGTGTTGTAATTAAGAATTTAGTTAGTGCAGGAAATTGACTGTAGCAGGAGCTTGTGTCCTACAACCGTCCAAATACCTGTAGTAAACTACAGGTGAATTACAGGTCAAGTCTGACAGACATGAGCGCTATACAAGAACCCACTATTATTATTATTATTATTATTATTTTAAGGTTTATGAAAACTGATTACTAAAAAGGTAAAAGCGAGTGATAACAGAAATATTGGGAATATTAATAAAAGTGATGGCGATAAAGTTAATTGCCCTTTTTATTAAATCTAACATGATGGTAAAACAAATAATTAAATTTTAATCTAGATTATATCGCAGTAATAGTGTCACTAATGGTATTGAAAATATTGACTAATCATTAACAATAACGTATAGAAATAATGATCACATAAACAGAATTGAAGAAGGAAAAAAATAAATAATGGGTATTTGCTGGTATGTTAAGCCAAATCTGATGACTAGCACAATATAAAAAGCATTTAAAAGTTTATTTAAACAATTTTTTTATTTTTTAGATATGTATTATATTTCATGGATCTCTTCATTTCCTCCTGCAGTGTTAAAGGTGCGACTCAACCGCCCAGCACGGTCTATGGAACCCCCAGCACCCACAAGCAAGACAGGCGCCCCCGAACCAGTGATGGTGTAACAGTGGTCGTCTAAAAGCAGGGTCCATTCGACACATCGGGTAACGAAAGATGCGGACAGTTGTATCAAGATTGACTCATCGTGTACTTTTAATCATATTACGATTGTTTTCTGTTAAACCAGAAACTTTGTGGCATGAAACCTTTGCGAATGGTTAAGAATGGCTATTTTTACAGCAAGAAACTTATGCGAATTACAGAATTTTAGCTTTACATCGATTGTGATTCAGTTATTTCACGGCCTGAAACTTTTGCAAATCTGAACTGCTCATGAAATCTGCCCACATTTTAAGGATGCAAATGTTTCTGATTTTACATTAACATGATTCAAGAGTCTATTGGTGGAACTCTATTATTTTACAGCAAGCCCTGGATACCAGTGACTCTACATATGGTTTCTGTCACAGTGGGTTGATGCCCCTTTAGCTCTCATCCATTGATAAATCATTTATTTGGAGGCAGAAGGGCATTAAATCCTATACTGTATTAAACACAGGGTTAACGTTCTTCTGGCTCTGAACACACAATATCATGCCTGGTCTCATTGGTTACTGGGTATTTCCAGTAGAATGTGCGTATTACAGATACAGTGTAAAGAACCCTCTATTTTATTTTGCCAAAGGATATATGCCACAGGGCTTTTGGTAAGAATATGAAAATGTGTATATGTACTTTGCAAACTGCTGTGAGGCAAATTCTTCAACAATGCTTAGATTGAAAGTTAATTGTTGAATACTTTAATGATTTAGGTAATAGGTATCATATAATAATTGTTATCAATTTGACAGAGTGGATTTATCTAGGGTAATGGCATTATGCATGATTAAACATGATTAAACATGATTGGAAATGGACAAATATAATTTTACAGTGCAAATAAATAATTACCTCAGTGAAAGCATTTTACATACATTAGTGATAAAATGAAGAAAAGACAATCTAAGTTAATAGTATTTATACCTAGGCTATAATGCATATTTACTAAACCTAAAACGACCTTTAACATCAAGCTTCTAAAAATAGTAAGTAGCCTGAAACATTTTTCTCATAGTTCTCGTCAGTTAGGTAAAGTAAAATTAGAACCCATTCAAGGATTAATTAGGGTAAAGCAGGCTAATTTTCTAAACCAGTATTCAGAGTGAAACTAATGTGTTAACCCACATAGTGCCCTCTTAATATCATTGTCTTTCCTTTTTATTCCTTTTTCTTTTTCATCTTATTATCTTTCTGAATGTCTACACAATTCAGCCATGAAATAAATTGTAAATTTGATAAATTTAATACCTGTAATGTAAAATTCAATCATTGTCAAACACATTTAATCATTGCAGCTCTCATTCTATTCTGTGAATTTGAACATTTATACTATAAGTTGTCTGACATGTTTCAGAAGTGGAAGTTGTTTGTGTAAATTAAAAACAATCTTTTCTCCTTCTACTTGTTGTATGTACCAAATACATGTAGTTATGTAATGTTTGTATGAAGTTTGTGTTTTGTAAAATTAATGGAAATGAAACTTAGCATTGTTTTTTTTCTTCAAAACCTTATGATCTATTGTGCTGTTCAAATAAATAGAAGTGTATTTGTTGACATGTTTTTGTGTTTGTGCGTTTAGGGTGCACTGGAAAGGTTTACAAAAAATTAAATATATGCGAGTCACAGGGGAGTGTGAAAGAATTCATGTTTACCGGAATGTAGTTTAGCAAATGAAAGAAGCAGAATTTGAAACCAAAGCTGATATGATATGTGATCTCTGCTCAAGTTTTGTTGCGATTCTGACACTTGTTTCTTTAATGTGTTAAAAAAAAAGGTTTTAAAGTAGCCGAGCTTCCCCTGTGTGTGCTTAAACAAGTTGAACATGTAATTAAATGTAATTAAATCCATTATGAAATCTGTAAATAACCACATTTTCAATCTGATTGCCAGTATGATTATTTGTATATATTGATTATGGTATGGTTTATATACAGCTTTCTTTACTTGATAATCCGGATGTGATGATTTAATGATTTATCCTTTTTTTTTCTTATCCTTTTTTCATATTTTTCCCCATGAAAGTTGTGTGTACTTTCTCTTTGCAATTATACTCAAATTGGCAGACATTTGTATTCATATACTGCTATTCAAGCTCACATTGCACAGCTTGAATTGTGCAATGTACCTTGTGTGCACACAATATATAGCTCTATTTATATCACCATTCTCACATAAAATTTTGTATTCTACCTAATCATGTCAGACACGTAGTGCTATTAAGTGAAGTGCGTGCATACATGTATACAAATATACCTTACCTATGACTGCACTTGTACTCAAACAAGTAGGATATATACATGAATTATTCAAGTATGAATAATCATGTCCTGAACTGGTTCAAGTTATGTAACATGTGATAATAGTAATTTACTTCTCCTTACCCTTGTAGCTATCATGCATCCCTTACCATTACTGTGAGTGCACTGTACTCCAAATTTGCCCCTTGAGTAGCAGTCTGTATAAGTGTGTTTCAAATATTTGGACTTGGTGAATTTTAATGGCGGTTATCAATCTATTTCAAAAAATCAAAAACAGAACAATGGATTTAGTATTTAGTAGAACAATCATCTGTATATGTATCAGTTTGAAATGAAATTGTGGATATGCCTACATATCGTGTATTATAAAATTCCAAGCAGGATCATTATATTTGTATTAAATATTTGAGTGCTTGTATGACTTGTACAAAAGGAGATATATTTACTATGTAGTGTACCCCCATATGACCTTTGAGCTGTGTATTTACATGACCATCATGATGTATACTGAATGGCCCATTGAATGGAGAGGCATGCATATTTGTGATGCAAACAGGATTGTCTGGTGTAAATTCTATAAAAAGATATTTTCCTCACAAAAAAGATTTATGCATTTATATGATGAACTGTAGGCAGCATAGTCATAAATGTATCTGTGTATGTACATAAGAGACTGTAGCATGTACAAGGCGGTAGATTTCACAGGTTATGAAAACAATCTAGTCCCATTTCCGACACACTTTAGTTAATTTATTAATAGACTTTGTGCCGATTGGAAATTCCATCCTTTTATCAGAACAAGTTTGAGCAAGATAACCTAGTTTCCATGAAATCTGTCATTGTAGAAACTGTCAAATACATACCATACCTGCAAATAATGAACCTGTAATTTAAGAAATCTGTAATGACATTTTAATCACCATTGTTTGATATCCATACCTTATAATGGGATGAAAAATGTGACTCGCATTATGTGGTTGATTGTAAAGTTATTGAGATATAAAATTGTCATGAAGATGCAAAATGAGTATGTCTGTATGCACTTAGAGAGAGATTGAAAAATATTATAGAAAACAAGCAATATGTGATATTGAAATAGAGGATATATATATGTATATGATTAAATGTTCAATATTTCATTCAATCCTGCCTGATTTTTGAGTTGTGTGTGTAGTGAAGTGCTATCTGTAAAGATGTGGGACATTGTGGCTCTCCAGTTAAGGTGTCTTTTTTATCATTTACTTATCATTTATTTATCATTTATTTATATTATTGTTATATTATTGTTAGTACCCTTATGCAGTGACACTTGATCAAAATCAACTTTCACTGACTTGTTCCTCTTTGTTGTGTGCTTCTATTAAAACCAATTTAATATCAGGATGGACTTCCCCTTTAAGAGGGATGTTTTTCCATTTCTCATCTTACAGTATTCATTTCATCTTGCATTTTAGCACATTTTTAGTATAAGGTTTGCGTATTGCCTCTATGGGCAAGGTTCTTGAAACATGCATTCATCTTTGAAAAGGTTTACAGAACAAACTAAGACTGAACACATCAGCTTCAAACTAGAAATCTCTTTATTCATTATCTCCAGATAATGAAGCCAAAACATCCCTCAAAAAAACTTCAAGCAGAAAACTGCAATTAAGTATTAAAAGAAAAAAAGGATTTCACCAAAGAAGACAAAGCACTCATCAGTGCATTAAAAAGCGGTTGGAGAAGGAACATGAGTTGATTACAATCTGCCAACAAAATCATAAAATACTATTTTAATTTCCCCTTATGAAGATAAGTACATAATCCATATTGTTTTGTACTTGTATGATGAAAAACTAATGTTTTTGAAGTAAACATAGCTTACAACAGCAACTAGAAAATCAAACCAAAATAATAAATATAAGAAACTTATGGATCCATAGAAGATATGCAGAGCTTTAAATTATGACAGTGATTAAGATTTCTTATTAAAACAATTAATTTTTAAGAAAATATGTTCTGTGAAAATGTTGCAAGAAGATGACATTTGCACAATATACAAGTTCTTTGGTTTTAAATTAACATTACATTATATGAGCATTTATGCTTTTGCAGTAATTAATAAGAAATAATTTAACAGTATGACTGCAAAGATATCAGAAAATTAATATAATATACCTCATTGGCAAGTAAAAGTAAAAAACAATAAAACTCAAGAATAACCAACCATCTTCCACATCATTTCTTTGAATTAACATGAAATTGGAAGACAAAAAAAAAAAAAGACTAAAGCTTTCTTTATAAGAAAACAATCTTAGAACACATACAAATCATCATCATTCAAGAGGTACAGTGTATGGTGCTAAATACTGGCAACAATTTTTTTTCTTGGAATGTCATTCTTGATTAATTTCATTAGACCTGTGATATCCTGTTCAGACATAAAGTGTACCAATCACTTACAAAAATAATTTGTGTACAGCTAGAATGTATAAAATCAACCTTTGAAAAAATTCACCTGGCATTTTATATGGGCCAACAGATAATAGAGTTTGCAGGAAATGAAAAAGATTTTAAAAAATCGCACGGCACAGAACCCGAGTCAAACTTCAGTTCTGTGTGGGCTATAATTTATGTGAGCCACTATGCGTGCATCGAGTAGTATGCTCACAAGTTGATTTTATGTTAAATGAGCATGTATGTAAACTTGCAAAATCTCTTCACAGAAGCAACATTTGGAGCTCATAGTTTTAACATAGTATTTAGACATGGAACTAGCAACAGACAGGAAAGGGAAAAATTGGGAGATCAGTTCACTTTCACCAATACATGTATCTCAAATCAAGACTTTATAGATAATAGAAAATAAAGAAACACATTCCTACACACTCTAAACAAGTTGCACTACATTAGATATCATCAAATAATTTATAATAAATATGAAATTGGTGGAATCATCTCTTTTCAAAATGTGGAATGTATTCAACATGTTACATCCCGATTCAAAAGTTTCCTCTGTCCAAATATATATTCAGCTTTATAATACTGCCACTTCATTTGAAGAAAAGAAAAAATGTTCTGATGAAGGTCAACCTGTTATAGAGAGTACCTTCCCTTCCTCCCCCAAAAATGAGGTTCTGAAGAAAACTTACACTTACATACATATATTTCTTTTACACATCATTCTCAAAATTATGATGGCCTTTTGTCTAAATCATCTTCTGTATAGCACCGTCAGGCTTTCTGTAATGATTGAGAATTGTAAACGTTTACAAGAAGTCAAGCACACTCAAATGAAGGCAGCATTTACAGAAGAGTCATAAATGTTAAAGGTAATACAAAGTTTTGGTATGGGGTCATTAATTTCGTTTAAATGAACATATTGGAAGCATATGTGATCCTACAATATTCAGTGATCGTTGTTGCGGTTGAAATCGAGTCTTAAGTTATGAAATTATAAATAATCAACTCTTTATGTTGTATAGCTCCTCTCAAGGTCGAGATATTAATTAATCTACAAAACAATGTTTCCTGACTAAAATCGACCAATTAGCTATTCCCGTTTGGAAATTATATATCTCAACTACATATTCTGAGATTTTCATGGTAGCAGTTACAAGTGTACGGCCGTAGGCGCTATTTGAAATTTATCAAAATTTAAAATTAATTATATTCAATTTTTCTCGAAAAACTAATCACACAGCATTTTTCATTTTGTATCATGAGTATTCATAACTATCTATCCTGATATAGTACTAATTAAATTGACAAATCAAACATAGCAGCAATATTACAAAACACAGAAAGTCTTATTCTCACTTACAATGACTCAATAGTTTATCAAACATTTATATGCATTTCATGCTAAAACTTTAATACTTGACAATTGTAATAGACTATTTTCTCTTGAAAAGAATATATAAGCTTATTATAAAAAAAGAAATAAAATATAAAAAAAGAATGTCCAAAATTTAAGATAGTATTCAACAGCTGCATTGCGTTGTACAATGAAGGTTTTTCTTAATCACCTACTCTGTAATTCTTTTTCAAAATTGATTTTGCCCAAGTACATAAGTACAAAACAAAACAAAATACCGTAAATCTCCGTGTATAAGGCGCACCAGTGTATAAGGCGCACCCCTATTTTGGGGAAAAAAAAAAAAAAAAAAACCTTTTTTGTTTTGTTGTTGTTGTTGTTTTGTTGCCAAAAACCCACGCGGGGAAGGACCTTCATTTTACATCGAGGTGCAGTTGAAGTTGTGAACTTGTCACAATTAATAGTAACAACAGTCTAAGGCTTCATGATACCAAGTGTCCCACACCAGCCTCCTCACATCACCTAGCAGAAGCAGTGTGTTCTGTGCAAAACATCAATAGTCATGCATGATCTATTAGAAAGATTACTTTCAAACCAAGATGACAGACAAATTTGAGTGTTGCTGTAGTTTCCGAGTGGTGAGTCAACACACTGATTACTGAGCGAGGAGACATTGCCAGGCATAGCGCCATAAATCGAAACCCCCGACTTTCAAATTTTTTCGGCGGCACAAAAGTGCGCCTTATACACGGAGATTTACGGTATATCTCTTCTCTCTAAAAATATTTTTTTCCTTCTTTTTCACAGATCACTTGGAATCTAATTGTTTGATTTCAGACAAGACTGTACTTTGTTTGGATAAAATATGTTTTTACTGATCATCTCAACATTGATTTTCTTTCATTACAAAAGTACAAAACAAAGGAAAAATATATCTCTCTAAAAAATAGACTCTTGAATATATCACTTGTAATCGACCTAAAGTTACTTCAGAGAAGACTATCGTTTGCTTGGACAATTTATATTTTTACTACTTCATCTCCACATTGATTTTCTTTCATTACAAAAGTACAAAACAAAGAAAAATAGTATCTCTCTACAAATATACTCTTTAATATATCAATTGTAATCTTCCTAATGTAACTTCAAAATAGACAGTCCAAGTTTCAGACAATGACATTTTTAACTACGATATCCAAGGTAGGTATTGATTAAGCACACTAACTTTAGTCCAGGGCTTACACCAGATTTAGTCCGGTGAGTGCGAAGTGTCAACCTCTTCATTATATTATTTTTTTAATTACCAAGTGATTTAGTAGCCAGATGAATGAACAAATAAAACTCGTGTTACCATGAAATCCAATTCCCTCTTTCATTTCAAGACTTTGATTGGGCAATCAAACATGTAACCACTCTTAGTTCTTTCAAGTCGATATTTAAGTTGCATCTTCTTACCACATATATATGACTATCTATGATACATACATTTACCATATACATTATATCGTTCTGTATTATTATTGTGTTTTAGTTTGTAATGTCCTGTACACGTCTTGCATTTTGTTTTATTGTGAATTTTAATGTTTTGTATTTTCCACATTTGTCATTTATGTTATGGGTCCACCCACTTCTCTCAAGCCATCGGCTTTATCGGGTGTAAATGATCCAGCACAATTCTCAATGTATATATATATATTGTATGTGATTTTTTATGAAATAATAAATTGAATTGAAAATTGAATTGAAATTTAATTTTCTCATTATGTTGCATAATTATGATGAAAAGCATAACGCTTGACTTGGCGCTCCATAAGTCAGTAAAGAAATCTAAACTCTGTTCAGCTTTAAGAGTCCACCTAAAGCACTCATATAATAAGGAGCCTTGAGCGTTTGCCACTTTTTAAAATGGTGACGTGAAAGTAGTTTAAATATAATACTACCTGAGTTAAATATGACATGATAAACTCTAACATACCGTACACTAAATGTTGTATGGGATTAAGTACACTATTTGAAGGATCGAGCCTTGAGCTTTTTGCACTTTCCAAAATGGTGATGTGAAAGTTGTCTGAATATAATACTATGAGTTCAAGATGACATGATAAACTCTCACACACACACTAAATGCTGTAAGGGATTAAGTACAAAATTTGAAATATTACTTATACAAAAATACTATTCCCCAAATCTTTGTAAAATATAGAATCCGAGTACATATGACGCATTAGTAGAAATAAACTAAATACATTGCAGACAATGGCAGTTTTGGAATTCTGTGTTATACCATAAAGATTGCTTGAGAGTCATTGCAATGAGAGTTATGTGAATACATGATGGGATCAGTATGGCCGGCGTCGCTTGTCAACTTTGGTCCATTTTCCGAAGGTTGACCTTTGACCTGTTCCTGAGATGATCCATGTGCTTTAAAGGGCAGTGTATTTGACATGGTTTTATGATGGTTGTCTAGCTTTCTGTGGAGCTCTCTCTGTGCCATTCTCAACACGTAAACTGACAGAGCAAAACTGAAAAGTACCTGTGAAGAAACAGAAATTCAAAATAGCTCTTAATTCAGTATGGAAAAATTCATGTGTCAGCTACCAGATATTAATTGGTGACACCGGTACATGTATATAGCTTTTGAAAGTACATGATAAAATATCGATCTGAAGGGTTCCTGCATGGAAGTTAGAGTCCACAGCTGATGACAAAAGTCTGGGACTCCTTTGAATTAGACCCTTGAGCTATGATATCTTTGGTTTAATAATTATTCATACTCTAGTACAAACATGAATTTCTTATTTACTAAGTTTGACAATGCAAAAATAACATTTCTTTTGATTATTGATGTCTTGGACAATGTTAGTGCTTGATATTAGGTATTTTTCACAGTGATGTAGATTGTCCTAAGTGAACCATGAAGAACAAGGAAGATGATTGTCCATACCTTGATGTCTTGACTGTTTTTAGACGGACAGAGCTCTGTATAAGTAATTGCTTGAGTGATTGCTAATGTTTTACCTACCTGAGCCATCAGCAGCAAGGAAGATGATTGTTGGTTCTTGATGTCTTGGACGGAGCGTAGGGATGATCCCATGTAGGAATTGAGGAACTGAGTAGGAAGAAGGCCGAGGAACGATGCCAACATAAACGTCGATACACGCACATTGGACAGCTGTTGATGATAAAAGATGACATACATTTTAATCTCAAGTGTGGAAAATGTCCCACGCATTAGCATACATAGTCTAAGTTTGCCTACTTAGTAAAACTGAAGAGAACATTCAATATTGGCATAAATGGATGTTAATAATTACAGCTGACCTTGCAGAATATACATCAATGAACAGATATTTGTACAGGTATAACACACTCTAATTTTATCAGATTGATCAATACGAATCAATACGGTTGAATACACACCATGCCTGTGTCATTAATTAATGGCGTCGTTTATTAAATCTGAGATGAATGGCCCTACGTGTTATCAGTGTCTGTGATATGGTGTAATATTAAAGCCCTAAAAGAATTGCTCTTCAAAATGATCATGAAGTGCCTTTAAAAAATAAAAATCTTTGAGTGACCGGTTTTACCATACTCACTTTCCCCAATTGACTGTAGTGTAATAAAAACCATTCGGAAAACAAAAAATGAAATTTTGATTTCCAATCATAAATACCTTGATAATCAGACAGCTGATCGATAGGCTTGTAAAAGTCATGGGATTCCTGACTGACCAAAAGGTTTATAATTATGATTGCAGCATGAGCTAAACCCAGGATTTTGTTTCAGAATCTGAGGTAATGGGGGTTACCGAGTCACTTTAAGTCATCGGTCACTATATGGGCACAGATTGGATATACATGTAGTCTGGACTAAAAAAGGATATGTGAACATCAAAATTTTACATCCGGACACAAAATTGGAAAGTCATAAAACGAATGGTTGAAACTTTAAATGTATGTGTAACTAGATGATATATTTGAACAGAGCAGACTTAATTAAATGTATAAAACAGGAGAGAAAAGATGGCGCCCTACTAAGTCAAACCGTATTTTTTCTCATCGTGGAAAATTTCTGTAAGATAATTTAACTAGATGGAATTTTGACTGCGCGCAGTCGAAAATGATGCCTCCGCCATAGAGCAATGTAAACAAGTTTGGAGTTTAAATCTCCAGTGGTTCTTGAGATATCATGATAACAATCTCAATGTATGGAATTTCATAAGTTGACCTCTGTGACCCTTGACCTTTGACCTACGTGCTCCAAAATCTAATCAGATTGTCTTCCTATGGTGATACACACTATCATTAAGTTTGAAGTTTAAATCTCCAGTGGTTCTTGAGATATTATGATATGGCGATACATACTATCATTAAGTTTGAAGTGAAAATTCTCCAGTGGTTCTTGAGATATCGCGATAACAATCTCAATGTATGGAATTTCATAAGTTGACCTCTGTGACCCTTGACCTTTGACCTACGTGCTCCAAAATCTAATCAGATTGTCTTCCTATGGTGATACACACTATCATTAAGTTTGAAGTTTAAATCTCCAGTGGTTCTTGAGATATTATAACAATCTCAATGTATGGAATTTCATAAGTTGACCTCTGTGACCCTTGACCTTTGACCTACGTGCTCCAAAATCTAATCAGATCGTCTTCCTATGGTGATACATACTATCCTTAAGTTTGAAGTTTTTACATCTCCAGTGGTTCTTGAGATATCATGATAACAATCTCAATGTATGGAATTTCATAAGTTGACCTCTATGACCCTTGACCTTTGACCTACATGCTCCAAAATGTAATCAGATTGTTTTCCTATAGTGATACACACTATCACTAAGTTTGAAGTTTAAATCTCCAGTGGTTCTTGAGATATCATGATAACAATCTCAATGTATGGAATTTCATAAGTTGACCTCTGTGACCCTTGACCTTTGACATACGTGCTCCAAAATCTAATCAGATCGTCTTCCTATGGTGATACATACTATCCTTAAGTTTGAAGTTTAAATCTCAAATGGTTCTTGAGATATCGCGCTAACAAACTCAATACAAGGAATTTCATAAGTTGACCTCTGTGACCTGTGACCTTTGACCTACGTACTCCAAAATCTAATCAGATCGTCTTCCTATGGTGATAAATACTATTCCCGAGTCTTAAGTTTAAATCTTAAATGGTTCTTGAGATATTGTGATAACGGTCAAACGGGACGGACGTACGGACGTACGGACGGACGTACGGACGTACGGACGTACGGACGTACGGACGGACAACCCGAAAACATGATGCCTCCGGCACCACCTTCGGTGGCGGAGGCATAAAAATGAGTGGAAAGAAAAGACAGATGGACAAAATGGACGTTTCACCAAGGATTTCCCAATACTTCACTCCTTCTGGCTCAATTTCAGGCAGAACAGAGATGGATATCGATGAAAACTCGGACATTCAACTTGAAAATCTCACTCAGCAGTCAGTGCTTACTGGAACCAGCGAAGCAGGCCAGGACTCGCAGGAGTCGCACCCCCAAGCTGTCGGGGGAAAGGAGAAGGAAAAAGACGAAGACGAACCGCGGGCAGAGAAGAAGCGAAAGATCAATGGAGATCAAAAGGTGCAGGCAAGTACAACCACTGAAGATTTACTAGCAAAGCTTCTTGACAGAATGGATCAAATGAACTCAAAATTCAATGACATAGTGGCCAGATTAGACTTATCCCTTACTCAGATTGATAACAATAAGAGAGAGATAGAAGAAGTGAAGGAAAAGCAAGAAGGGATTGAGTTTGACATTGGTTCAATCAAAGAGAAATTGCACGCACAAGAAAAGGAGAATGAGAAGTTGCGCGAACGTCTGACAGACCTATCCGCCAGGGGAATGAGAAACACACTTGTGTTCCAAGGCTTTCCAGAGGGTGCTGAGAACAAGAATTGTGAAAATTTGATCCAGTCATTTGCCAAGTCGCATTTGCAGATTGAAGCTGAAGTAATCATCGAAAGGGCACATCGCAGCGGAAGCACCTCATCACCTCGACCAAGGCCGATTATTGCAGCCTTTAATCGGTACTCGACCAAAAGTATGATCCTGGTAAATGCACGTCGCTTCTTGAAGGAGAAACCCTTTGAGCACAATGGAAAGCATCCTATTTACGTGGATGAAATGTTGCCCAAGGAAATTCGTGAACAACGGAAGAAGCTGATTCACATCAAGAAGAAGCTGAAAGAGGAAAATACAAGGAGAGCAGTGTACTTCAAGTATCCTGCTCGCATCTTCTACAAAGAAGGAAAAGACGGGAAGGAGAAAGAATACAAGATGAAATAACTCAAAACGTCAAAGGAAAGAAAATATTATCATTCCACATTGAAATGCTGGAAACATTAAAAAAACAAAAACATGAATAATGTTATAGAGCTGGACTTATCTTGCCTACTTAAAAACAAGAAGAAAAGTGAAAAAGGAATACTTAGATTAGGTTAATGACAAGAACTTAACTCTGAGAGTGAACTTTTATAGGTGAATATGTGGAAAAAGCACTCAAAGGATAAAAGGAAAGACCACGATGTAGAGCGCCATCTTGATCTCCCTAAGGCATACAGAAGAACTAGCCTTTGTTATGATTTGTTTTTTGTGTTGTTTGTTTGTTGAACCTGAATGTTTAATATATGTTAAACCTGATCTTATAATGGTGGTATTTCTAAGTAATTCATATCTCAACTATGGATTTGAAGCTGATGACACATAATGTTAACGGATTGGGGGACTTTAAAGCAAGGAAACGTTATTTTAATTATATGCTTAAACAGAACAAAGATATTATCCTTTTACAGGAAACTCATTCTGTAGAAAAGGAAGAATCATTATGGAGAAATCAAGTTAGATCTGATATTATTTTCAGTCATGGAACTTCTAAGAGCAGAGGAGTATGCATTATATTAAGAAAGACACCCAATTTTAAATTGTTAGACTCCATTAAAGATATAATGGGACGATTTTTATTGGTAAAAGTTGAAATTCAGAAGAAAGTTTATGTGATATGCAACATATATGCACCAAATAATGAGAAGGATCAGGTTGAGTTTTTTAAGAAGGTAGAATTGACCATACAAGATAACGTTGAAAATGAGGAAATTCTAATAATTGGTGGGGACTTTAATTTAATTCAAAACCTTGATCTGGACAGGGCAGGTGGCTCAATGAAAAGCATTTGGAAGCACTCTGTGAATCTTATAGAAAATCTGAAAATATATTTTGGTTTGGTTGATGTTTGGAGATCCAGAAACCCCTGCAAAAAAGGATTTACATGGAGAAGGTATAACCCACTGGTGCAATCTAGATTGGATTTTTGGTTAATCCATGAATCCTTACAGAATACAATTAGTGAAAATGATATCATACCGTGTGTTTTGTCTGATCATGATCATGTTAGTTTGCACATGAAAATTAAGACAAAAAATTCTGGTCCGTCCTACTGGAAATTTAACAATAGTCTATTGAATGATGTGGAGTATGTTAATGCTTTAGCTAATAAATACTCAGAATGGATTGGTGAGTTTACAGATAGTAATGATAAAGGAGGGCTATGGGATTGGTTAAAGTTTAAAATTAGAGAATTTACTGTACCATTTTCTAAGAAGAAGAAATGTGAAAGGGAAGAGAAAAGAAAGGCTCTTGAAAAAGAATTGAAAAAATTAGATGACAGGATGGCAGCAGAAGATATAGATGAAGAATTAATGAAAAAGAAAAGGGAAGTAGAACAGGAGTTGTTTAAAATATATGACTATTTTGCAGATGGGGCAATCTTGAGGTCAAGGTGTACATGGTATGAGAAAGGGGAAAAGAGTACTAAATATTTTTTGTCATTGGAAAAAGGTCAAGCAGCAAATTCCAATATTGATGTTTTGATTTCAGATGTAGGACGTATTGATAAACAGTCTGAAATACAGGATTTCATTAAGAAATCATATAAAACTTTGTTTGAGAACAAAGATAAGGTGGAAGATGAGGTGAGCAAAGATTACATAAGTCAGAGTAACATCAAGCAACTCACAGACGAAGAAAGAAATTCATGTGAAGGAAATATCACTTGCTCTGAAGCTAGGGCAGAATTGTTAAAAATGGCTAGAAATAAAACACCTGGGAACGATGGGTTAACTGTGGAGTTTTATGAGATGTTTTGGCCTTTGATATCAAAAGAAGTTATTGATTCTTTCAATTTTGCATATGAAAATAGTGTAATGTCTGTGTCACAAAGACAAGGTACAATTAAACTCATCCCTAAGCCTGATAGAGATAAACACACACTGAGCAATTGGCGTCCCATAACTCTTTTAAATGTAGATGTTAAAATACTTTCTAAATGCTTGGCAAAGAGAGTTGCTAAGGTGATAGGAAAGTTAGTAGATAGTCAACAAACTGCCTTTATTAAAGGCAGATACATAGGGGAAGGAATAAGATTAATATCAGACCTCTTACAATATACTAAGGAGGAGAATTTGAGAGGTATTATGCTAGCCCTTGATCTATCAAAAGCATTTGATTCAATAAGCCACAGGTACATGCTAAATTGTTTAGAAGCGTTCAATTTTGGACCATCTTTCATACAATGGGTTAGAACATTGCACACTAATATAAGTAGTTGTGTATTGGTGAATGGATTTACCACTGGATATTTTCCAGTGTCTAGAGGAGTCAGACAAGGTGATCCTCTGGCTCCTTTACTGTTTATACTGAGCTTGGAAGTTGTTCTTACAAGACTCAATAATAATGATAATATTCAGGCTTTTGAATTTAGTGGAAAACAAATAAAGTATACAGCATATGCTGATGACATAACTTGCTTTTGTAGGAATATACAATCAATGAAGATGGTTTTCAAAGTTTTTGAAGAATTCTCAATCATATCAGGTCTTTATTTGAATAAAACAAAAACGGAAGGTATATGGGTTGGGAAAGATAGGCACAATGGAGAAAAAACAAATGATATACTTTGGGCAGACAAAAGCATAAGAATTTTAGGCATTCATTTCTCATATGATCAGGAAGTAGTCAGGAAACTGAACTTTGATAAGAGACTGGATGAAATAAAATGTACTTTCTTAAGATGGAAGAATCGGGGGTTAACTTTAATAGGAAAAATTCAACTGTTGAAAACATTTGTTATGTCTAAGATTATGTATATTGTTTCCAATATTGAAATACCCGATGATTTTGTTAAGGAGGTTGAAAAGTTGATGTTTCAGTTTATATGGAAAGGTCCAGATAAGATATCACGGGCAACAATGATTGCAGATTATACTGAAGGTGGTCTTAAATTCCCGAAACTAAAATGCATGATAGAGACACAGCTGGTTAAATGGATTCAGAGATATTATACAGAATCAGATCATCATTGGAAGTTGTTCTTTGACCACTATAGTAAACGATTTGGTGGAAAATTGATTTTTATGAGTAATTATTCTATGAACCAGTTGAATTCTCTTGGAATTCCCATATTTTATCATAACTTGTTGTTAGCATGGTCCAAGACAAAGGAGTATAATCAATTTGTTGATGATCAAGGAGCCCAAGCAAGTGTACTTAGTCAAATTGTTTGGAACAATCAATATATTCTTATTGATAATAAATCAGTTTACTGTAAGGCCTTTCATGAGGCAGGTCTATGTTATGTATATCAACTTTTTGATCTACATGGAAACATTGTTCAATTTAATCTTTGGAAAGCAAGAGGAGTACCAGGTAAATACTACATGGTATATTTGGCAATAGTATCGCTAGTCAGGAAGAAATGGGGAAGTTCATTTAATCAATTATTGATAAAAATGTTCTTGGAGAAAATAGATTTTGAACATGATCAGTCTGACCTTTTGACAGTAGAAATTCAAAAACTAAAAACTAGAAATATTTATGTTGATTTAGTTAGTAAATTGACATGTAGACCTGTCTGTGAACCCCTATTTTCCACTAAATATGGGATAGAAGAGGAGGAATGGCCACAAATGTATCTACTCCCATTTAAATGCACAATAGAAGTTAAGATGAGAGTCTTCCAGTTTAAAATTGTGCATAATATTCTATACACCAATGAGAGACTATTTAAAATGAAGCAAGTTCAGACAGAACTTTGCACATTGTGCGAGACCTCTGTTGAAACTCCTTTACACCTTTTTTATGAGTGTAAGGTTGCTGAAGATTTAAGACGAGCTTTTGTTGATAAAATTGGTCTAAAGCTATCTGTCAGATTTGAGGATCTATCTAGGAAAAGAATGATGTTTGGATTCATAAAGGATTGGAAGGGACCACATAAAATATTATTAAATCACTTAATTATCTTATTGAAGAGATACATTTATATTCAGAAATGCAGGAATTTAGTAGTAAGTTTCATAGGTTTTGAAACGTTCATTTGCAAAATCAGACATATAGAATTGGTAATTGCTAAACAAAAGCACAAAGAAAACATGCACTATAGAAAATGGTCCCCTATTGAGAATTTATTCTAATTATCCATAATTATATTTTGATAATGATATAGTTCAAACCACCCGAGACTGATTTTTTAGTTTTTACATCAGGTCTGTTTGTTTGTTTGTTTGATTGTTGTTGTTGTTTTTTTTGGGTAATTGTTACAGTGATTCGTATTTGATTATTGTTCTTTCAATGTTATACAATTATTTAATTCTTGTATGATTGTTGTTTTTGTAATGTTACAAAAAATTTCGAAAATCAATAAAAAGTTGAAAAAAAAAAAAAAAAAAAAAATGTATAAAACAGTGGTTCAATTTCCAAACAGTACTTACTGCAAAGACTCCATTCTGTATCCCGAAAGGTATAGGGGTCAGCCTAGTCAGAGCGATGACCTGAAATCCATGATCCCCTTCCACCACCCTAACAATCATCTCCAGCTTCTCATTCATCAGGTTCCGTCTGATCAGGGAGCTGAGCAACGTCCTACACACAAGCAACGCACACGAGGATCCAATGGCTACCGTCACTATGACAACAAATGTTCCAAAGGCGGGGCCGAAGCGGTAACCCGCGATGACGTTGACCAGGATGTAGCCCCATGTCATGGGGAAAGAGAGGAAGATGAAGAGGACGAGGAAGAAGAGGAAACTCTCAGCATCACCGGAGTCAAGAAGCCATGATAAAATTAGCTCCACCTGAGAATAATAGAAAGCAACATACAGGTACATTTGTGAATTTCTCTAAAAGAAAAAAAGTTATAATTCATATGAAGTAGACTTTAATTGTCACTTGAAGTTGTGTATGAGTGGAAAAAAAAAAATTTAAAGAGAGAAAGAAATATACAAACAGAAAAGAGAGAAATATATACAAAAGGAAGATATATTACAAAAGACAGAAATATAAAAGAGAATGATATATAGACAATTATAGAGAAGAGAAATATAAAACAGGTAAATTATAAAGACAAGAGAAATATACAAAAAGAGAGAAATACCACAAGAGAAAGAAAGACAATAATATGGGTAATGAGAAGTACATGTACACAAAGCCTGATAAAGTTTGAAAAGAGCAACTCCAAAGAAATGTGAAAATCGGGTCCGAGTAGAAAATTGTTGACAGCAATTAAAATCCATAAATAATGATAAATCACAAGAATTGATTATCAAGTAAAAAGGGGAGAGCAAACAGAGATAACTACATACAGTGTAGTACATAAACAAATTATTCAAATGATACAAATATTTAAATGAACAGTGAAAATAAAGAAAAGGGGAAATATGAAACATGATAACCTATTCCACTATATTGGGCATACTTTCTGAATTGTATTAATAATACCCACTATTCATAATTCTGAGAAGAGACGCAGATGTTGTGTGGGTAATTATAGATTAAAGTATGCACACCAGATGGTCAAATATTTGCTTCAGATTTCTAGGGTTATTAATGTTAGATCGCATCCTACACATTCTGTAATAGAAGGTTGAGGTAGTTAGATATTTGTTCCCAGTACTGCATTGGCTTAAAATAGACTAAAATAGTAACTACAGAAATAAAGATATATAAAGCTCATTCATAGTAAAGGGCCTATTTGGTTAAATATATGAATTGCATACTACTACTACTACTACTAGGTCGAGCGTACTCGCACTGATTTGACAAGCTTTATCCATTCAGTTCTATTCTCCATGATCTTCGGGAGCTCCTGCCTTGCTAGACAGGTGTCCTTTTCTAACTGGTCAATGTAAGTCATTGCTGGGCGCCCTCTGGTGCGTTTGCCCCTTGAGGGCTCCCAGAAGAGCATTTGTGAAATGATTTCACTCTTGCTCCTCCAGCAGTGCCCACTGAAACGGAGGCGGCGGTCTCCGTTTAATAAAACTAATTAAATAAAAATAAGGCCAGACATGTAAAATTTGTTCCGAATGTAAAAATTTGTAGTATAATTAGTGCACAATCAATAACGGATGGTTATTCCTGCCACTATTAAAGCAGTAGCAAATTCTTTCAATCAATCATTGTTCCAAGTTTTAAAAAAAACACAAGTTAATATTATTCGTTTTTAAGGAAGAGGCAGAAAAGAATAAAGAGGAAAAAACCCTGAGATTTATTCTTACCTCTTGCTGGAAAAGAAGAAACGTTGAGAGGCCTATCAGTGAGATAGCGGAGTAAGCCGTCAACCTAGGACACACCTTGACACAGGGGAGCTTCCCCACCGCAGACGACAGACAAGACCCTTGACCCGACGTCCCTGCACTCACGACCAGCTCCTTAGAACAGCATGGCTGCAGCCTTGAGCAGCAGGCATGCAAGCCCCCGAAGTGGCATATATGTCCAGAGGTTGTAGAAGTGGTGGCCGCCGCAGACACCCCTCCCCCTGCGGACACACAGCTGTGGCAGCAACTCAAGGATTGGACGTTTGACGACGACATCGCCCCTAGACAGAGACACTTCAGAACCATGTTGCAGCTACTAATTGGTGCCGTACTGTTTGACAATGCAGCTAGTCTATTTCTAGCTGCTAGCTACTACAGTGACTTCTATTAAACCAATGTTATCAAGAAATATCACCACCCCTCCTTGTAGGTCACATGTCAACGCAGAAAGCCACAATGTTCTTCTGCCGGACAATATAGATTATAGAGCGATCTCCTGAAAAGCGATAGCGTTATCTGGATTGTTATCTTAAAGCTTAAAACAATCAGGAAATGTTTACATTAACTGACACAAATGCCACATAGGGCATATGCTGGTGCGTTCATGCAGACTCAATGCAACGTTGTAACTGCAAATGTCAATACACCTCCAATATTATAGATTTCATGCTCAGCTGTGCAGCTAAAGAGCTGCATTTTTTAATGTTTGGGTGAAGTGATTCATCAATATTTAATCTCATCATTTTTTTCACTACTCGTTCATGCTTCCCCTGTCGGTATTCTTGTGCAAAGTGCTTCCCTCAGCATAAACTGCAGACACTACACTTAAAAGATGAGATCTCCATCATCTGACATTCCAAATCAGTTATGATGAATATCGCTTTCAATCACAGCACGGCCATAAGATCCATGTCCAAGTCATACTTTACGCTGAGAGGAGATCCACATCTATAAAGAAAAAAAAAGAAAATGACATTGAAAACATATTTAACAAAAATTTACATGAACACACATCACCAGTACTGCACATCATACACATTATAACAATTATTAACCCGCCTGTAAGCCTATAATTACCGGATGGCTTAAGCTTGTTAGTTGTGGGTGAAAATGAAACTACTACAATTCAATGGGCAATGATGTTAGTTCAAGAAAAACACTTGAAAATATGAAAGAGGGTCAAAGGGCACTGCCATAGTCATGCTTTGTAAATGAATGATTTAATATTGTCTCCATTCCCCGATTTGGTGTCCAGAAATCAATGATATGATCGAAAAGTAATATGACAAGTCATATTTTTTGTGCCCTGGAAGCTTTTGTAAGCTTGTCTGACATAGCAACAATCACTGTTTGCAAGGTGGATTTCATCCATAGAGATAGGGCCTACTATCTTAAATAAACATAAAAATAAATAGTTGATCAGTGGGGGTCAATCAAACTCATATATGTGTTTTGACTTCTGAGTCAATAACGCTAGACCAATCAATTCACTTTTCACACGCTGGCCTATCAGTATATATATTGTGCAGACTCCCTCTTGTTTTTTTGCGGCCAATATCAAGTTCTATATAACTTTGCAGGAATTATGACTATGTCACGCAAAATGAAATTTAAACGTTAGCAGTGTCTTAGAATTGAAATTATGCAAGGAAACCTGTTTACTTTCTAGACTTCACTCTCAGACACTATTGAGTGACTGACTGCCTTTTTTCTTTGGAAATAACATACATAAAATAGCTGTAAAGGGTACACGAGCATGATGAGCATTTGTCTACATCAGTAACACACTTCTTGTTATGGCCACAATTGAATTGATTGAATCGTTGAAAAAAAATGTACGACCATTCGGGACAAGGGTCTGAAAATCAGACTATTTAATAAAAAGACCGCAATCGCTAAATTCGATTCAACAACTAACGGTCGTTATTTTTCCCACAAAAAGACATTTTCAAGCCCCTTTGCTTTGAGGGAAGTTCTAAATTAGTATTGTCTTTCAAATGCCGTTGGAATATAACTTTTTCAATATTTGGCCTGCAAATGGGACATAGTACCTTTAATCACATTGCATGTATCATGAAGCAGGGGCAGCTACATGTAGTTCTAGGAGTTTCTTGTAAAGGGGCAGGTACTCTATTCCAAAATAAGACACAATTGAGAGGACAATTTTTGTTTTGCATTTAAGCTATGACAATGGGTTTCAAAAGTGGGTGCACACTAGGCCAATAGGCTGAGCCTCAATACAAATTATTTCAATTGTATTTCAATAGTCAGAATACAAACTGCAGTGTTGTTAGGCAGGGTAAGCCACTAATTAAGCCATAATGTTTGTCCTACCTAGCAACTGCATACAATAGCAATAGCAATACTGTATGTACAGTAATTACCATTCTGACTATATATAGTATTGAGATACAATTATTTGTAACAGGGGAATGCATTAATTTGCATTGAGGCACTTCACAAGGTCAAGCATTAAACATACATTGTATAAAACTCTAGGCACATTACACACTGGTCCATGATCATGTGACACAATTACAGAAAGTACATTACTGTGAATATTTAAGGTCTACCTCATACTTTCAAGCAGAATAGCCTACACTGTAGCTGTTAAAATTGTATAAAGATGATATTGAGTTTTGATTTAGGAGCCACATTTTTTTTAGAAATATTGGCTTATAAAATTGATTCTGTATAGAGTAACATGCAGTAGATGGTTTGTTTGCATCACCAAAATAAGTTTTTTTTTTTTTTAAATGCTGAAAACCACATTCTGCAATACAACTGTCACACAGAGACCATACTGATATCAGGCAGTAGATTTGGACCATGACTATCACATGACAGGACTATCAGTCTGATTTCTCCATCTATTTTCTTATTAAGGATAAAATCAAGGATATCATTCTAAGATAACATTGTACTCCAACACGTGTTTTCCTGTGAGAACGACTTCTGAATTTATGTAGGTGTTGTGTGGACTAGTCTAGAGTAGATCATAGGAAAGAGACTATATGAGCATTAAATACTTCTTTCACATCTTGAAAACTCCAAATTTGCAGAAGACCCTGAAACAAATTACTTGATAACTGTCAGTCTGACCCTGCTGACATTGACTGTTGTGTGTCTTTTACATTAGTACAGAGAGCAGCACCTTTTGTTTTGCATTGTGCACGTATAAAATCCCATAGAGTTGTGCACCTACGAGTATGACTACGAGTGCCTCCTCATCACTCCTCTCTTATTTTTTTCCAATTTCTACCAAAATCACATTTGTCACATAATATCATCAGTTTGGTATTGGTATTTAGAATTCCACATGGCAGCCAAATTAGGGCTGAATTTCATGGAGTTTACAAGGTACCGGTAAAATGTATTTAAAAAAACTAATTGGCTCACAAAAATAGAGAGAAAGGGAGAGACGAGACAGAAAGTAGAGAACAATTAGAAACAATTATATAGAGGCAGAAGTGTGACAGTAGAGAGGAAAAAGAGATTATAAATTACATCATTATCATGATAAGTGATTGAATTGATTGATTAAATGATAATTAAATAATCATCTGAAGTTCTGAATAGTCATTGTCACTTTCATAATTTGCATTGAGTCCATTAAGTAAATTAAGCCCATCACATTTATTTTAATATCCCATAATGAAGAAAGGAGAAAAGAGCTTTGGCTGGGAAGCCTGGGATCCAACTATTTTAATTTGTCATGATGCCATATTATGGCATTGCCATGCGGCTCAATCAACTTCCCTATTCATTTACTCTCATAACATTCTGTATAAAACAAGAGAGCATTGTTCTTAAACAGCAAACAATGCTCTATCATGTTTATTATAATACTTAAAGTGACTCTGTAACATTGTCACAGATTCTGAAACAAAGTCCTGGATTTAGCTCAAGCTGCAATAATTATAAACCTTTAGGTCAGTCAGGAACCCCATGACTTTTACAAGCTGATCGCCTGTCTGATTATCAGGATATTCCTGAGTAGAAATCAAAATCAAATTTTCTGTTTTTCTAACGGTTTATATAACACTACAGTCTATCGGGGGAAATGAGTATGGTAAAACCGGTCAGTCAAAGATTTTCACTTTTTTGAGGCACTTCATGATCATTTTGAAGCGCATTTTTTAGAGCTTTAATATTACACCATATCACAGACATTGATGACACGTGGGGCCATGCATCTCAAATTTAACATTGTTAAACGAAGCCTTTAACGAGGAAGTCCACCCTGATATCAAGCTGGTTTTAATAAAGGCAGTAAAATGAGAGAAATTAACAGCTAGGTCAGTGAAAGTTTGAGCAAAAACTGATTAAAAGTCAGTTCTAAGGTTATGAAGTTTTAAAGTTGTAATCAGTGAAACACAAATTGGCAACACTGTGACGTATCATGCGAGCTCCTCTCTAATATTTTCTCTATATACAGAATTACAGAGTTTCATAAACTCTCATTTTCTTAGTTATAATGACAGAAATAGATTTGTGATTCACCTAGCTAACTATTACATTTTGACTAAATCCACCTTAAATGTATCTTATCTGACTGAAGGTGTCATCATGTCAAAATGTCAAATCTCTTTTATTAATCAATCCATACAAATGTTTTTGCCAATTATTTATTTGGAAATATAGAGCTCACAATTCCAAAGCCTACAAACCTCACATGACACTATGCTAAATAACTTTGCTCTTGTAAATTTGTACAAGTATAGACCTCTAGAGTCTATAATGAGTTTACCGGTATTAGTTTTTAAAAACCTCATTAATTTTTTTTTAGCAGATTTGTATGGTGGTGTGACCAAAGTTCGCTTTCTCAAAAAATCGGTAAGATTTCGAAAATCTGATATCACCAATGGAAAGAGGGTCTTAAAATTACCCAGAAACGAAATTTTCTTTAGAATTGGTTGCGAAATTGTGAAAATATTGACAAAAGATCGGCAAATTTTGCAGTTATTTGCGTCCGTTCCGAAAAATTATCAACTTACCGATAAGGGTCTGGAAATCTTCATTTTGAGATCGGAAATCCTGAAAATTGTAAGTAAAGAGTGGTACGAACTGATTGTACGATATCTTGCCTTGCAAATTATGATATTACCTTATTTTTGATGGATTGCATTTTTTGATAAATCAACTGTAAACCACCGTGCGTGAAGTTAGGTCTCATTGTTTTTATGACTTTTTTAGATGCAGCACGCGCGCACGATCGGACATCGAATTTTTAGATCGCGATATCTCCGAAATCCTTCGACGGTAAATTTTTCTAGTTTAACCAATCTGTAGTAAAAAACTTTGCCGTCCATTTGGTAATAATTGAAATGAATAAAGTTGTGTAGAATGTGAGAAATCATAGATCGAATATCACATTTTGTAATATGTTCTAAAATGTCCGCGAACTTTGGTCACCCCTTCATATGTGTTTAGTAAATTAGAGATGAATTATGTTCATTTAGATTTAGATGATCTATGAATGATGAATCATCACAACCAAAGTTCTGTACATAAAACTGAGAAATCTGAAAGAATGTTTTCATCATCACCACTATTCTATACTATAGAAGTTACAATACAAGCATCTTCATCCATAGACCGAAAGCTTCAGTCTCTATACCGTCGGTTGTTCCACTGAGACTACGTCTGGCTCCACTAGACCTCCGGTTATAGAGACTGAACGATCGCCTATGACAGCCTATGTTGAAGATATCACGGCTAGATTTTAGCCGTTAGGCCCCTCCCACAAACATGAACAAACTTGCCACGGCCGTATTGTTATGCCCCCAAAATCCCCCAAAATGTCATTTTACCTCGTGCATATCCAATTTTACATTAGGCCTAGGCTATAATACATCGGTTCAACTTACTAACTTGATTGAAATAATCCGTTTAATGGTCTCTTTTAAGGAAATTATGGGTCAAAATCGACATCCATGTTGAAAATCTTGCAAGCCGTGTTAAACTCTCGCTGCCGTCAATCTCATCCCTTCTAGTCTACGCCGAAGGCAAAAATGATTATGAAGGAAAAACTGTGATAACGCCATTACGAAGGTGTAGATGGCGCACAGTTTTTCCTTCATAATCATTTTGCCTTCGGCGTAGACTAGAAGGAATGAGATTGACGGCAGCGAGAGTTTAACACGGCTTGCAAGATTTTCAACATGGATGTCGATTTTGACCCATAATTTCCTTAAAAGGGACCATTAAACGGATCAAGTGAGTAAGTGGAACCGATGTATTATAGCCTAGGCCTAATGTAAAATTGGATATGCACGAGGTAAAATGACATTTTGGGGGATTTTGGGGGCATAACAATACGGCCGTGGCAAGTTTGTTCATGTTTGTGGGAGGGGCCTAACGGCTAAAATCTAGCCGTGATATCTTCAACATAGGCTGGCATAGGCGATCGTTCTGTCTCTATAACCGGAGGTCTAGTGGAGCCAGACGTAGTCTCAGTGGAACAACCGACGGTATAGAGACTGAAGCTTTCGGTCTACTTCATCCATAATACAAATCATCATCACATCATCCATTGCATTGTAATCAGAAACTCGTGCTCATGATGTTATCAAATAAAAAATGAATAGGTCTACACGAGTAGATGATGATGATCTAGACTCTATAGACCTCTAGCCTCGACTCTAGTCTAGATCTACTCTATATTTTGGATATTTTCTCTATCTTTTATTTATGCCCATCATCAAGGTAGAATCTATACCAATTACTGTCCTAGAGTCTAGATCTATGATAAAACCTAAACATTCTTTCATTTTTGTTAATGTATGTAGGTTTTAAAAAAAATCTTTTTAATCGACAGACCACAATTTATATTCACTTGACTGCCGAACAGTCACGAAGCGAAGTGAGCTGAGGCATCTTTGCCTGCCTGCTCCAGCTTCATCCGCATCCACCCCGGCCCATCGATGCGATGCATCCCACTCATCAAATCCTGGCACCTTTGCCTTGGCAGACATCATCATGATCATGCATCGTCATTTTCAGGTAAATCATCCAAATAAAGTAACAACAACAAATTAATAGGGTCTTGATATGTTTAAAGTGGTCGAACATACCTCGCAACGGTGCACTTGGTCCTTGGACGTGATATATGATGTGTTCTTCTTGAGTTAACTTTGAAACAGGTTTGACAGCTAGCTCTTTTGCCCAGGTACTTTGTTGCGCCATATGCATGATAGCTGAGCTACTCGCGCGCGCGCGACGTATCGCGCGTTACGGGTGTACGTGTGAACTTTCAACCACTTCCGTAAACATTGTCGACTTTTGATCAGATCAGGCACAGTAAAATACATAGAGAGCCCGAACCGGTATGCCATTCCATATTTAACCCATTACTTCATCGCCTCTTGGTCTGCATTGGCGAGCAGTTGCAAAATGGTGTGTAGTGCGAACGTGTCCTCCTTATTCTCTACCCACCTAGTTTGGTAAGTTTTTGTCTATGTTTTTATCTAGTTACAAAGTATACCGGTACTGCCTGGGTGAGAAGAGCTGAGATTAAGAATGTGAGATGGAACAGCTAGTGAGGAGATTATTCATGTTGATCGTTATCACACCAGCAGCAGCAACACGTAGCTAATGCGTATTGATTGTATGTTATCTGAACATGAACAAATGAATAATCAGAAGTGTCAGAGACTCAGAGTCAAAGACAAAGAGACCGTCACAAAATAACTGGCAATGACTGGCAATTAATTAATCTTGTATCTATGTAGAAATAACTGTCTGGTATGGGTAATTCTGTAATCAGGGCTGTCAACGATCAACTTTGGGGAACTGCTTCGAGGGAGATCGTATGGAAATTTGTAGCTCAACAGGGAAGGGGGGGGGGGGGTATTGAGTAAAAAAAAATAATAAAAAGTCGAAGTGCTCACTTTTATTTGCGTTATATTACTATATTAGGTTACAATTGACTAATAATTGAGAGGGTTCATGTGTTTTCTTCTTCTCCTATTCTTCTTCTTCTTCCTCTTCCTCTTCCTCTTCTTCTTCTTCTTCTTCTTCTTCTTTTTCTTCTTCTTCTTCCTCTTCTTCCTCCTCCTCCTCCTCCTCCTCCTCCTCCTCCTCCTCCTCCTCCTCCTCCTCCTTCTTCTAAAATTAAAATGTGTTTGACATATTTTTGACATTAAAGGTACCATGTCCCTTTTGCAGCCAACCTCAAATGCTGTAGAACTTTGCAGGAATTATGAATATGTCATGTATGTCCTATCTGTGAAATTTAAACGTTAACAGTGTCGTCATATTCAAATTATGCAAGGAAACCCATTTATTTGCTAGACTTTACTGTCAGACACTATTGAGTGACTGACTGGCTTTTTTTCTTCTTTGGTAATAACATACATGAAAAGAGTTGTAAAGAGTACATCATTTGTCTACATCAATAACCCACTTCTTGTGATGGCCAAGATTAAACTGATTTAATCTTTGCGCAGCATAAAACGTATGACCATTCGGTACAATTGTCTGAAAATCAAGACTATTACTTTTGGGCTCTATAGCCCTAAATTCGATTTGACAACTAATAGTCATAATTTTCCCACTTGAAGACATTTTCAAGCCCTACCTTTTTTAGGGAAGTTCTAAATTAGTATTATCTTTCAAATGCAATTGGAATTTAACTTTTTCATGTTTTGGGCCTGCAAATGGGACATAGTACCTTAAAAATGCAGAGATAACATTTATTTTTACCTTTGAATTCTTATTTACCTGAAACGTATGTAGACTATGATCCTTTACATAATATATGTTTTATTTTACTGTTTTTTTTTAAATAGATCAGACTTGCCCATAAATCAGACTCAAAATGGACAATGTGAATGTGGAATCTGAGATTGGAGAGGAAGAGGAAGAGGAGGGTCCATGGATTAATCTTCCGGACCACGTCTTGGTTAACATCTTTTCTTTCCTAAACCTGAGTGACCGTTCTCAGGCTGCCTGTGCATGTAAAGCATGGAGTGAAACATTTGACACTCCGTCTCTGTGGCGGAGATTCAAGTTTCATTTCTTCAGCGAGTCTGACTCCTGCCAGCTAAAGTGCCTCGACCTCTACGGGAGCCAGCTCAGAAATGTCTGTGTGGTACTGAATCAAAAAGGAGAGGACAATCGCAGGAACGCTTGTGAGGTGATAAATCGTCTGGCCGAGAGCCCTGAACGCAGGCTCCAGGACATCACCATACAGTTCACAACGGACAACCCCCTATTCTTCAAAGGAATGGAATTCATGAACAGTCTTGCACTGCTGTTTGGACCCCCTGCCCCTTCGGTGACTATGCACCACCAGCTACGTAAGATCGATCTGAGCCAATTGGCAATATCAATTAGTGATAGCACACTTGCTTTGATTGCAGATAATCACCCAAACCTTGAAGTCCTCAACATCCAGAATCAATCACTCACCAGTCACATCAGTACAGAGCACATGCTGAATCTTGTATGCAAATGTAGGAAGCTGCGTGAACTCAGTACTTTCTACAAATCTGTATCCGACGATGCCTTCAAGGCTTTTGCAGAGGCTGACCACACACCTCTGGAATACCTTTCGCTTGCTTGTCGACGTGAGGAGAAGTACCACAAGCCCCTGTCGGCAGAAGCCTGGGACATACTTATTGCTTCTTCACCCAAACTCCGTGTTAGTTTACTCTTTGATCACACGATTGAGCGGCATCAGATCAGACACATCTTGCATCCTCAGATTCCGCTGACGGAGCTTGCCATGCGGACTATGTCGGAGCTCCATCATGAAGTGGGAATCGTGGCCACCTTCTACCCTCGCACTCTGGAGGTCTTCATAGTGGTGACCAAGGGTTCCGAGTCCTTCAAGACTGAGCTGATGAGGTTGGTGTCAGCGGCTCCTCATCTACGAGTCCTGCATTGCTTCTGCGGCTTGGACGAAGGCACCATAGCCAGGATCAAAGAGCTCTGTCCAAACCTGGAGGAGTCTACCTTGAAAACAGAAGATGACTTCAATGAGATGTCGAGGGTTTTCGTTGGTAGGGCTGCACGGAATACTGTCATGTCTGGCCGGTAAAAAGGGTTCATTAACATGAAGTATTTATCATATTCCCTTTTCCATATAAACAATAATGATGATTTATTGATTGATATCATACATTTTTCCATTTACTCCATATATTTAATATAGGACCATTTATGTTATGTGGTTAACCATATGAGATTTTCTGTAATTCCACCCTAAATTTATGATTAACATTATCCCTCTGAACAAAAATTAAGTATTGATATAATCCAATATTTCATTTGCCTCATTATTTCATCAAGGAAACAACAGAACTTAGATTTATATGTAGCTTTATTTAACCTAAACTTCATTAAATGTCTGATATGCACTACATATTAACTTGAAAATACTCATTAATGAAATATCTATGTGTATCTAAAAATCTGATGTAAATAATTTTTAATGAAACATATTCTCTTCTTCCAAAGGGAAATGACAAGCTTCTTAAATTTGAATGTTTCTATTTCTTGTAAATTTCATTGATATTATAAAGTAATATTGGTTCCTGAGATCCATATTATCATTATGGTTGTAATACTTCACCCCCTCTCCATCCCATTATTCATTTTTTCAATTGTATTTGTCTATTTGAACAGATGATTGGAGAAGTCTGTGGTGAGAGGAAGAGCTTCTGGACTGGAGGGTAGAAATTGCTACACTTACATCATGTCTTGCCTTAGAAGCGAAGCAGGATGCAACATCTTCGGCAGATGTTTTATGAAGCCACTCGAGTGTAATCATGGTTATTCATTTTTTTTTTTCAGCCAGTAGACCAGAGGTGGCATTCTAAATATCATCTTATCTTTTATTTTAGGGAGAGATATTTAATTGTTACAACAAAATGAACAAATGCAATTATAATGGGTGATTGATCATTGAATAAGGTACCTGGCGGATAGTGTGCCCACACTGATATTTCTACAGGCCAGCAACAATGAATTTATTTCAGTTCAAGCTTTGCATCCAATAAAAAATCAAATGAAAAGGCACAACTTACATTTGTTATGACAATTAAAATCCCTTCTCTAAGACCCCGTTTCCGCTCACTTTGAAAGTGGTCTTAGTTAGACCACTCCAGAGGAACGGGTCTTGAGGAACGGTTTGCGAGCGTTCACACTCCGAGCAGTTTTTTATGGCTCAAATCGCTCCACGAGTCAAAGTGGTCTTGTTGCTATGGCAGCTCAGGTCAGCAGGTCAATTTTTTCGCGCGCGGAATACAAACCGTATGTACCGTACTACATGTTTCGCACGGAACGTCACTAGCTCACTTCCGGTCAAAGTACGCTTCCGTTCACATTGCACGTTAGAGCGGTCCAAACCGCTCTTAATAAGACCCGTTCCTCAAGACCACCTCCCGAGGTGGTCTTCTGGAACAGTCCAGAAGTCCACTTCCTGGACCACTTTGACCGTTCTCACTCACCTAAGAACTGCTCCTGAGGAACGGGTCTTAGTTAGACCGCTCCAACGAAGTGAATGAGAACGGGGTCTTAAAGTCAAGATAAAATAATTCTTCTGATTAGTTGTGCACTGTTAACCATTTATTCAGTTCAATGTTCTTCTTTAACCAAATGTCATGAGAGCTCGTCTGAGGCATGCCCTACTCAGCAACAACCATTCACAAAATATATTTTATCTGTGTAGATTTTGGATGGAACATGGATGATTCGTATTATGTTAAGAAGCAGTTTATTAAATTAGAATCAGAAGAAAATACTATATATTTATAATGAGTTTACCTTGATTGTAAAACAAAGTCAGTGAATAAAAAAGTAATTTTATGCTGCTGCAAAATTTCTGAGGATGAAAGTGTTATTAAGTTTTTACTGGTATTCTTTGTTTTTTGCTACCTTTGTATTTGAATCACAGGGTACCTATTAAGAACACTTGGTAACAGTATACCTTCGGTTACAAATTATTTCATTTAAATAATTGTATTTCAACAGTCAGAATGCAAATTGCATACATTAGTTATTGCTAGGTAGCTAGGGTAGGACAGACATTATGGCTTGCCCTACCTAACAACACATAATGTATGCAATTTGCATTCTGACTGTTGAAATACAATTATTTGAATGAAATGATTTGTAACGAGGCACTTAACAAAGATTTATGCATTAGATTTGATTACATTACAAAAATGGTCTATTTAAATGAATCCTGGAATACCAGGGTAAATGTTTTTTCAATCTAATCAAGGAACAAACCTATATTTTACAGATTTTCTCGTTCATTATTCTCCTTTTCTCACAAATATTTAGATTTACCCATGTTGATTAGTATCTTCAGTGAGCAATTTTAATTTCATTTCGTCCAAATGACTGATCAGGTTAGAATATTGTGTTGTATGCATGTATGCCAAAGCAAGTATCAGAACAGTATAAGAATTAATAGTATTGAAGAGATTTGCATTTTCTCTATTGCCTTGTTTACTTCTTTCATATTCGATATTTAGACAGTGACAGAAATTATTCTATTTTGCCATGGTGCCTTAATTTTGGCCAATTCTTTTGAGAAAATAATTTTTTTTTTCTTCAAAATTGTTTAATATGTTTTTTCTCTTTGCATGCCCCTTTTTATTAGAATTATGGTATGCAATGCATGTATTTAGCAGTGATTCATGTTGTTTGGACATCTGTTAATTTTGTTAATACTCTAGCTGTGTCATAGACAGATTGCGATTAAGATTTTAGAAAAAATGAAATATTAAGAAACAACTCCCATGTATTGTGCATACAAAATCAGTCATGATTTTTGTGTTATAATAAATTTAAATGTACATTTATTTGAAATTAATGTTACCACCAAAACCTACAAGTATATAGAGAAGGCAGCGTAAGCATTGAAATATAGTGTTACAATATATGCCATAGATATTTTTAAAATGTAGATATAGAGTTATAATATATGCATGTATCAAAAGGTAGATAATATATTAACATTATAAATTGTTATGCTTTGATATTGTAACAATAAAAAACAGTAAAATCAGTAGATATAGAGTAAAGCGTGTATCAAAAAGTAGATAATATATGAAAATTATTATATATGATCATTATCGTAAATATGTGTTCAATGCTTCATCAGGTCATACAGAGGTGCAATGTTTATAAATTATGGCTATGAAGTGTAGCGATTATTGTCTTCCAAAATAATTCAGATACTTTGCAATTTTGCAATTGACAGAGGGTGCTTGTTCTGCATGGAAAATTGAAAATGTTTGCCTGGGTCTTTGATTTTGATGTCATTATTCAACTTACTTTCTTGATAAAAGTATTATGCTGACAAAAAGTAGTCTTTCGATTGTTATTCTAACTCCTATGCAACATTAGTACAGGCAAAAGGTTGTTTGTGCCTATATGATTTCAACAGTAAGATTATTTCAATTTGACTTTTATAGCCACTAGAATTATTCATAATTTTTAATATATTTACCAAGAAAATAAGAAAGTTATTTTTATGAAGTGTTAGCCACCATTTTATAATAGTAAATTTCGCTATACATGTACTTATGACTAATTAGTCTAGCTATTTAACATGCAGATATGAAACAAAAATGTTTTTAAATATAAATGAAAAGGGTGTTGAGAATGGATGTAAATCTTAATAATATGTAGTATTAGCATGCAAATGAGCCAGTTACAACAAGTTATATTACAAATCTTTCAAATATGATCATTTTTGTGAATTTTATGTTGCTACATTTGGCATTTTGCAGTGTTTCAATGGCTTACGGTATTGACCTATATCTGAAAGAAGACATTGTGTGTGATTGGAACTAATTTTTTTTTTTTCAATGCTGAAAATTATTAAAATGATATACATGTACATGTAATTCTCAATGTATTTATAGTTGGCCACTGCATATAGGCGAGTGCATATGACAATCAAAATAGCAAGTTAAAGAACAAGCATGTAATTGTTAAGTGTCATACAATTCTCTTTGTCATACAATTCTTTTTGTCATAATATAGACCAGTGGTCCTTCATCTTTTGGGGCCCACAACTCATCTAAAATGCCTTTTGTGACATCACACCACCCCCTGGCCCAAAGATACACCAGGAATTTGTTTGAATCATATTCAACTCGTTCATTAACCCTTAAAACCAAAAACAATTCCCATGTATGAACCACTGCATTAGGCTGTTGTAGCAAACTGGCATTCAATATATTTCATGCCACACCTATGAGAAATGAATTTTGAAGAATTATTTGTGGCAACAGTTTCAGAATTGATTAAAAAGATTAGAGCAATTTTCAAACTGACACCTTGGATCTGCATTTTTGTATTTGTGAAAAAAACTGTAGATCTCTTTTTTAATAGTTTGTGTGTTATACGCGGTTGCACCACGCGAGAGAGAGGGGGGAGGATTGGGGAGTCCTGAAAAGGACTCTCGGTAATCTTTCTTGTTTGTGTGTTGAGTTGAATTTCATGTTTTCAGATAGAGCAGTGATGAGAAATGATTAAGTATGATCAAGAGAACCTGTCACCCAGAGAAAGGAAAAGGGGAAAGAGATGAAAAATGAGAGGAATACCGTCAACAGAAATAAAATGTAAAGGGTGAAGTAGAGTATAATTACACAAGGTATATGCAGAGAGAGGCTATTCTAGAATGTAATATGTAAATATTCACTCCTAAATGATAGACGCCTATTAACAACACAACAATCTTGACGCACTCACACATTCAAATTAGTTAAATAGGGCAGATTAGACAACACTTCGGAGGAACGACACCCTCGCATATTCTCACATTCCCAAAACATGTTCAAAGTATGTGGATGCTTAAAATGCAACCAAATTGAAGACGGCAAAAGAAATTCATTGTCCCATTCAAGAGTGGGAATATCGGACAATATGATGAAGATTATCAAAAAATGCATGATTATGATAGTGACGAAGATGTCGATAGAATAATTGACGGAATACAAGATTACAATCATCATGATTATGGTTATAGAGCAACCCCCTAAAATAGAATCGTAAAATTCTATCCTGCTGCCCACCAATATGAATTATTACATTTCGAGTGAGAAGCCCTGGTTTCTAACCAAATCGACCAATAACTGAGTGATTAATGCAGTTCTGTGTAATAAATTTGCCTGTACACATTATGATGCCTTAAGATAAAGTTTAAACAGTTGCAGAAGTTGAAGACAAATGACACATACGTTAGGGTTACAGGTTTGAAGGATTTGAAGTTTATTATGTCTGAAAGAAGTTTACACAGCAAAGCTTATATGTTTGTTTTTCATTCACAGCTGCGTTCAGTATTCATCCATCTCGCACGTGTGATTAGTACCTACCAAACCTTTGTCTTAATCACAATATTTGAGCTGATCAGGTAAACTCCAAATCAGATTCCCAAGTGGCATTTCATTTCAAAACAAATAAGCTACCGAGTTAAAAAGAAATCAAAGCTATACAGAGTAATCCTTCAAGTAAAATACTGCCCTGACGGATACAGTTTACAAAATGACATTAGGGACTTTTAGATTTGCACGCCGACATAGTGGACTGCTACGTGTGACATCCTTTTAAGACACTACCGGGCACTGCCAGTGCCTTAAAAGGGCTTCACATTGTCTTAAAAGGGCTTCACATTGTCTTAAAAGGACGTCACACATAGCAGTTCACTATGTCGACGTGCAAATCGAAAAGTCTTTATTATTGTCTGCCGAGAGACAGAAGGGCGTTAACTTCTTGTACATTTATAAGCAGAATATGGGTCGACGCCCTTCTGAGTCTCGGCAGACTGAACAAGCATGATCATTGTATTTGTGAGACATCATACAAACTGTGAGGTTAATGGTACACACCGTCTACCAAAACACTAAAAATATATGCCAAATTTGCAACTATCTGTGGTTATAATACACAAAGCAGATCTGGAAATCAACATATAGGAATGACAAAACTTACATATGGGCATCAGTGAGCTTCCTCGAATTTCTTGCTCTCAGTAGTTAGAAAATATACACAATTTAATTCTTTTTGTTATCATACACAGTATTCATACAAAGTGCCATTCAAGTCAAAGATCCATAATATTTACAATATAAAGTGGAGCCACTACATGTAATAAGATTAAGTAAAGAATAAAGTTAATGTAAAACCTAAAGCTGCCTGGCAATTTTGTCACCAATATCGAAACATTTGTCTAGAAATACATACTGTACATGGCTCCCTTTAATTATGTTTTGAAATATTTTCCAGAAGTTTTTGAGTGCATACCAATTTATCTTGCTTGCATTCATGCATTACTACCAGTGTACATGTACAGATAATATGGTAAATACTGATTGATAATTGATACTATTCAGGTAGATTCAGCTCTTTAACTTTTAAATTTCTATACAAAAAGTATTTTGCTTTAAAAGCTAGTCTGGAAAATAAAATGCATAACAAAGATTTCATTTCAATCAAAGTTTGATCAGAGTTCTACAAAATTGATTGTCTTCCCAAGAAAGAAACAAAATGTACTTCCACATAAACCAGAAATAAACAAGAAGAGTATTCCATTGGTGCATGCTACAAAGGGAACAGACCAAGAAACTACAAAATAAGTGAGGTACAAAAAATATATGATGAACTCTGTAATAGATCCTACTAGTTTCATTCATTATGTATTAACAAAAAGATTATCATCTGCGTGTAAGAGAAATATGACTTCACATACCTTCTCACTGAACTTAATGAACTCAGCCATTCTATCAAATTGACAAATTTCTTCTGTCTAAAGCAATATGCTGTTGATACCAGTATCCATTCAATATGACTGGAGAAAAAAATTGTGTGATTGACATAGAAAAAGGCATGTATGAAAATCATTGATTTGAGACCGTTAGAAATAGACAATACTTTGACCCTATCAGCTGTGCATTGCATTACAGTCGGCTTACATTACAGATCCTAATACATGCAGTGCTACCAGTTCACATAGACAAATTAAGAAATACCATAATAAATCATAAGAGCACTGACAACGGTGAACAGAAATGTTCTAAAAATACAGGAGCGACGTGGATTTAAATACTTTCACATCTGGAAGATGAAGTGCAAGGCTAAACAAATATACACAATCATGTCTGTTACGGATACATTTTGTCTCATAATACACTCTCATGAGCCCAAAAACCGTCCCCATCTCTCTATCCCAAAGATACATGAAAAATATAGGGATTGTGTAAAACAAAGACATTAACACCAATAAAAGAAACGTGTGAGGACACATTCAAAACAAACGATTATGGCATCTCATTTCAGGTCTATGTTATCTTTTCTTAAATTAATTGAAAATTGAGAGATAATAGAATAATTTAAAAATAATCACACCAGGGGTGGGTGATTTCTGACTACTGTTCTTCAACAAATAGATATATCGTGCCATCTCCAGTGCCGTCTTCATCCTCTTCCATTGCCGCGATGACGGAACCCTCTGAGATGATGCCCTGGCTGACCATCTGCTGCTGTAGAGCTGCAGCTTGCTCCTGCGTGATGGATGAGCTCTCCCGTGGAGCAGAGACCTCTTGAACTTGGCCTTCCTGCTGCAGTTCCGGAGGCTGGGAGTCGTCTGCGATGTCGTCCGAGGTCTGAAGCTGCTGGGAAGCCTGCTGACCTTCAAGATGCAGGTTATCTCCGTCTCCCTGAGGTACAGCCATCATGAGCTGTCCTTCCCCATCCTGGTGGCCCTGGACCGCAGCCAGACTTCCGTTCATCATCTGGAGTGCTTCGTCCACGTTCTGCCCGTCCCCTCCTACCGTCAGGATAACAGGCATGGTGCCATCACTGGTCTGCACAAGTTGAACAGTGCCCTCTCCGCCTTGTGCCATTGATACTTGGATTGTGTTACCATCTGCTGTGGTCAAGGTATGAGGTTCTACCATCTCTTCTGTTTCCTCCTCCTCCTGAATCTGCATCCGTTGACGCCTTGTTATCCTCTTGCTGGGACTTGTGATCTCATCTGTGGCTTTACGTTTCTTGGTACCATCTGCTTCCTGGATCAGGTTGTGCTTGCTACGTTGATGGTTGATGAGGGTTTGTTTGTGCTTGAAGGTCTCGTGGCACTCTTCACATTCATAAGGCCTCTCCCCTGTATGGACTCTCATGTGGATCACAAGATGACGTTTCTGAGGTGCAGAATACCCACACTCCCCGCACTTGTAAATCTTCTCGCCCCTGTGCCCCCTCACATGCTGCATATACGTGAATCGGTCAGTAAATGCGTTTTCGCAGATTTTACAAATCATGGGTTCACCAGCTGTGTGCATCTTACGGACATGGGTCTTCATGTCGGCATATCTCCCAAAGGTGGTGTCACAGTGATCGCACTTGTGAGATGGCCTATTTCCAACGTGTTTCCACTCGTGCTCCTTGAGACTGCTCTTCTGGGAAAAGGATTGGTCACATTGAGAACAGTTGAAAGGACGTTCGCCAGTGTGAACTCTCATATGGCGCTTGAGCTTGTAGTTGTCCGTGCTGGCATACTCACACAGAGTACATTTATATGGCTTCTCTCCGGTGTGAGAACGCATGTGACGTTTGATCTTGGATGCCTCCACACTCAGGTAGTCACACAATGGACACTTGTGGGGCTTTTCATGGGTGTGCATGTACTTCATGTGGCGCCCAAGCTCACCGGATGTGCCAAAGGCTTTTGGACACAGCTCACATTTATAGGGCTTGGTTCCAGAATGAGTGTTCTCATGGTTGCGAAGCAGGGTGGATGTGCGGAATATGCGACCGCACAGATGGCATTCATGCACCTTGGGTCTCCTTCCAGGACCCCCTTTCTTGGCTCTATTAAGAACTTGATCAAGTAGACGGCCATCATCAAACTTGGGCACCACATACCTGGTCTTCTTTTTGGCTCCACCAACTTCTATGCCACTTTTCTCATCACCTCCAGCAACCGGTGCTGTGTCGTCCTCTCCTGCGTAGAAGTCATAGACGGACGGATCTTGGCCATCCTCTCCTTCTACAACCTCCCTGACAATGACGATCTGGGTCTGCATCTTGGCTGCTTCATCCTTGCGTGGTCGTCCTCGTTTCCTCTTAACAGGCTTCTGTACAATCAAGGCCACCTCCTCGTGCTCTGCTGCTGCCATTTGCAGGGCGCCCTCTTCCTGCTGTGCAGCATCTTCCGAGACAGGTTGTAGCTCTGCATAGGAAGGATGATCGCCCGACGTCGTTGCGATCACGTGGGTCTGCTCATCGCCAAGATGGTGGACGCCTCCTGACGAGACGACCATGGTAGTGGGTGTGGTCATAGTGGTTGTCTCTGCACCGTCTACTGTTTGAAGGATAGTGTACACCTCAGTACCAGGCTCACCTCCAGACTGTAAATGATAACATATGAAATACATATTACCAAAAGTTATATCTTACATTTATCTTTATCTTCTAAGAGAAGTCTTATTGCATATTTTTACATAAAAAACATGAAAAAAGGCAAGTCTTATACATGTTGCCAATATCAAGATGTTAATACTTCCTTTCCTCTAAACAAAATTGAGTTTAACTTATTCACAAACTGCATAGGGTAATACTCTTGCTGCTTATGTACATGCACTCTTGATCTAATAAAATCCTTGTAAGTTCATATAACAGGGTTCGTACACTTTTTGCCAAATAAAATTCCATGACTTTCCATGACTTTTCAAGTAAGAATACCATGACTTTCCTTGACTTTCCCAGGGGCAAATGTGGCACATAAAGTAAACATTTTGCGTGTATGAGCAGCACACTGACCGCCATGATAAACGGTGTACAAAAGGGAGAGCTCAGCGCGCAGCACTGCTTCGCTTCTAAAAAAGTTTTATCATTTATACATCTGACAATAAAAACACATCAATTTCCATGAATTTTGTAATTCCATGACCCTTTTATAAAAATTTGGTTTTCCATGACTTTCAAGGCCTGGAAAAAGACTAAGCCAAATTCCATGAATTTCCAGGTTTCCAGGGCCCGTACGAACCCTGTATAACACTACACTAAAAGTTATTACACACTAGTTTAAAAAAAAAAAAAATTGTCTCTTACTTGTGTCATAGCTAGTTGTGTAGTGCCATTGTGTGAAACTGGAACATACTGCGTGTTCTGCGTGGTTTGGTAGACGATGTTATCCCCCACCATATTGACTGGTGCTCCTGAGAAAGCAATCTGGGCCACACCTTGATCCATAGATGATAACTGACCATTGTCTTGCATGGCTACCATTAGCACCTAGAGAGAGAGAGAGATGGGGGGGGGGGGAGAAGGGAAAATAAAAGGTTAGGTAATATTTTGAACTTTGTAATCAATACACATCTCCAGTGACAAAACTGTCATTTGGGATCTTTCATAATGTATTTCAACAAATCAAGCTGAGTACGGGTATTCATTTTTTAGAATTCTTCGTTATTTTATGGCTATTTGAACATAAATATATTCATATCTAAGACAAAGATAAATTTCAGAACCTGCAACTGCCATTTTTTCCAGGACTTCATTTTATGATTTACACCCATTACATTCTTGTATTTTAATGGTAAGATAGATATCATAATTTTACATGAATATATGTAGAGATTCAGCACTGGGAGTTCAATTTAAGGTGTAAACACAACATTCCTTTCATGAAGGAAAGGTCTATACATATATGCCTAATTGTTCAACATTTTCACCGTTTCTAAACACTTTCTATATTCTTCTAACTTGAGAAAAAGAATTTGGAGACGGAAGTAAAACTGGATAGGAAACATCTTACAGGGGAATTACATGCTCAGGGACATCTTGGAAGGGAAGATGGAGGGTAATTGGGGAAGAGGAAGACCTAGATTTGGGATGGTGTCAGTTTTGGAATGTGACAGATTATATGGCATAATGAAGAAGAAGACCAGATAGGGAAAGGCACTAAAGAAGACTCTGGTGTGTGGACCTGCCTTTGACAGAACAACCGATAGAGACCGAGAGACCTTTAAAGGGATTGGGTAACTATGTCTCAGATTCTGAAACAAAATCCTGGATTTAACTCATGCTGCAATGATAATTTTTAACCTTTAGGTCAGTCAGGAACCCCATGACTTTTACAAGCCGATCGCCTGTCTGATTATCAAGATATTTATGATTGGAAACCAAAATCAAATTTTGCGTTTACCTAACGGTTTTCATAACACTACAGTCTACTGGGGAAAACGAGTATGGTAAAACCGGTCACTCAAAGAATTTTACTTTTTGAGGGACTTCTTAATCATTTTGAAGCGCAATTTTTTTAGGGCTTCAATATTACTTCATATCACAGACACTAATAGGGCCGTGCATCTCAGATTTAACATCGTTAAAGAGAAGGTTGAGTTCTGGTCAAGCGATTGCATTGTGAAAGAAACGTTGTGGAATCGATCAGAAAAGATTGGTTATCTATATAAGTATTTATGTGTATTGAAAGGTTCTGGAATCATCAAAATGCTAAGAAATTTGGCCTAGTCTTGGTAAAGTTGCAAGCACTGTACACAGAAAGATGTATATGGGACTAAACGAACACGTGGCGAAAAAATCCGTCCCGATTTTTATGATGTTACTTGCTATATTTAGAATATTAAGGCATTTGAAAGAGCCATGCTTTTCAAGGAACATGTTTTTATCTGATGTTCTTTCACACTTGCATAATGTAATGATAATGCTCACAAATTATTTGTCACCTCTTCTCAGTACTCAACCTTCTCTTTAAACGATGCCTTTAAAAACTCCTACCACAACTCACCTGTTGTTGTCCTATTCCTGATGTGCCGTCCTCCATGTTATGTACCATCACCACCTGCTCTCCATTCACTGTCTGTATACCTGCTATTCCTGATCAAAAACAAACAAAGAGGAGAGGATTATCAGGCATGTCCAAGACAATGACTTGGTTATTTACAAAGAGGAGACCATGACGTGCTGACAGCATCAAATTTAACAGATCTTGGTCGGATAAGAAAAGAATTGTAATATATTGGAACTGAAGTATGAGGGCTAATATGACTCATGTTCAAGCAAGTTCCATATTGAATCAGTAGCCCATTTTAACCAACCAAAATAGAATTGTATGCAGTAATCATATAATATTTAATATTCAATTTATAGAATCTCCTTCTCTAAGACAGAAACAAATATTAAAGAGAACCGGTAACATTGTTGAAGGTTGATGAAAAAACTGTAATTTTTTAATTTTCCAACCGGTTTTCCATGAAAATATGACATAAAACCGGCTTTAAAAAATCTTTCAACACTTAAATGTTTGGAATGGTATGTAGAGCCAATTTATTGCTTTGTGACGATTTACATTCCCCTAAAATTTAATCAAACTATACTAATATAGTTGGGAGAATTCAGGAATCGATCAGATCCGTTTTTCCAAATGTTGATCATTAACAATAGTCTGTTTTTACTCAAACTTTCAGATTATCTTTAATTGTACATTTAGCAAGTTCCTTTAAGTGCTTGTACACATTCGTGATGTGTATTGTTTGAGAATGTGCAAACTATACAGCTCCCACTCTTCATGGCAGCCTTTGCATCAATAAAATATTGTTGCTGCTCACATTAGTTTGAAGAATGACAATCGAGGGAAATTTATAAATAACAATTTCTATTTCTCTTAATGTGTCTGTGTACAACAAATATCTTTGAGAGCATGAAGAGACGATTGAAAGACTTACTGCTCGGGTCCACTTTGGCTCCATTCTCATCTACTAGGTTAGAGGTATCAAGCTGCTGCATGAAAGTGTTCTCTGTCCCCATCTCTCCCTGAAAAGGAAAAGACAACAAAATATTCAGAATTCATACATAAGCCAGAAAATTTCACCATAAATCTTGAGAAATCAACACTACAACTTGGGAATGAATATAATACGCACTTATATTTTCACATCTCACACGATGCCCTTAATTCTGTCTAATCTCTTTCATGATTTTGGGAGTTCATAATCTAGCACCATATTTTTTTGAAAGTGGAGCTGAATTCTTATGATTGTAATTGATTTAAATTTCACACATTTTTGGGCCTAAAATTATCTTTATAGCAATTTTAGATCCTAAAAGGGCACTGGAAATGTCATAAATAAGAATAAGAGCAATAACTATGCACTTCGAAGGCATGTGCGGTCTTAAGCAAGAACTCAACTATCCCTGTAACATAAATGTTTGTTGCAAGCAATGCATCTACTTAATTTTTAGTTATTTTTATGTGTAGTAAATGAATAAGCAAAGTATTTGATGATCTTCGTCATGACACTAACCTCTTGGTTTTCCTGTAAGGCATTAGGATTGCTGATATTTGCAGAGGCATTGGCTAGTAGCTGTAATGTGTGAGTGATGTCAATGGTGGCTTGGTCGGGTGCAGGTTGGCTGGCCTCGCCCACTTCCTCCTCCATCTCCTCCTCTTCACCGATCTCCTGCTTTACCACTGTCAAAGTTGACATAAAATAATAATAATGATGTAGCATCAGTGCTGTTCATCCCTATTCATCTAGCTGCCTCTGTTTCCTACTTGTATGTCAAATATTCTATTTTGAGGCCAAGTGACGATACTAGCCGAGTGTTGTTTTAATTTGCAAACAATATTACATTCTACAGAAACTATTATTCAATACATGCATTTTTATATTTCGGTGGTTGAATGGTGTACAAAACTATTCTCAAAATGAATTTGGGATTTCAAGTGCAAAGTTTGTAATTTACAGCAGGGTCTTAAGGTGTTTGTTGTTCTGAAAGAAAACTATTGTTCACAGAACTTTATGAAATACAGTCATTTTCAGAACTGGTTGTCTACCTGTCTTACACAAAACAACCCTTTTAGCACTAGGCCACAATCATTACATTGTGTTAAAATAGATCTTATACATTAAGCAGGGTTTGTGTTCTCTTATTATCTTACTCCTGTTTAGAAGCTCAAATAACATTTGTCTCAAGTATAAGGTATTCTATGCGTTGATACTTAATGCAAAGTTCATTCAGTACTATCACATCAAGTTTTATTGTTATTCAACTCACCTGCAACATTATCTCCTTCAGCTCCTTCTTCAAGCTGCACATCCTCTTCTGCATCAGCCACCTCTTCTACATGTACAGCCAGTGGGGATTCAGTGTCATCCTCTTCTGTAGCTGCAACAGTTGACGCAGCTGTAAACAGGGAACACGAAAACTAAGGATAACACATTATTGAGCAAGCTTAAAATTACTGATCATCATTCGTTTTAAGCAGAAGCAGAACAAAAAATCAAGAAAGTTTTGTTTGTATACATGTAGTTTCCAGATCTGCAAAGATTTCTTTTAATCTAGCCTGGGTATTGGTAAGCCCCTATTGGGCAGGCAAAAAATAATTACTGTGTTACCTCTCTTGTCAGCACACTTGATATTGTTTACATCATTTCAATTAACTACTTCAGACATTTTTTTCCTTCACATAGAATGAATACTGGTTGCAGTCATTAGTTGTTGTAATGCCAGGCAAACAAACCTCATGTTATGAGGTCCTCATTTATATCCATCGTAGTAGAGGCTTGCATGAAAATTGAAATAATTTGTGGACTTGTGTACCCTTTACCTATCATTTAAAGCCAAAAGGTGATACAATCAATGTAGAGGAGGAAGAAGAGCAATTCTTTCATTCATACAACTGACCTGCTTGCTGAACTGCACCAGCAGCAGTGGCAGGACCTGATGAAAGCTCCTCATTGAAATTTTGAAGATAGGTCTCCAGGACGTTCATGGAAGCCGCATCAGTTCCCTCAGCTTCCCCCTGGTCTGCTGGTGCCACAGGTTCTTCTGTCTGGCTTCCAGGTTGATCTGTGTTTTCATCCATGGTTCTCTGTTATTATGATCTGCATGGGTGATAACATGGGAACAAATTCAGTATAGACATCTCGATTACAACATGAAAAACTTCTGAGAAGACCTCACTGCTGCAGAACTATTTTTTTTAACCACCATTTATTCAAGACATATATTCCTCATCTTTATACTTTTTTTTTTTTAAAGTAAAACCTTTTAACAATTTTATCAAAGTGGGTTGCAAATTTATGGGAAACAGTTTGGCATTTCAATTCCACATATGTAACTCTTACCAAATATAATTTATATGATTGAAGGCCTCATAAAATATCTCCTTTCTTCTAATTTTTGTTAGGTGGTGGTAGCCATTGGTAGGCCTAGTGCCTACAGACAGGCTTTGGAGGCTACTTCAATAATTTTGGGGAATGAAATCACTCAGTTCAACGCTTCCAAGTGTTCAGTGATGATCATCTCAAATAAGAAAAAACCTCTGACAAGGGATTATATCTTCTGTGGACAAGACTTACAACAGACAAGCTCTCATCCTTACTTGGGAGTAGAAATAGACAGTAAACTGACGTGGGCGAACCATGTTGACAACACAGCCATGAAAGCCAACCGCATGTTAGGATTCCTCAGGAGAAATCTATGGTTTTGCCCAAGGAATGTGAAAGCCCTCGCATACAAGACCCTAGTGAGACCAGTATTAGAATATGCAAGCTGTGCCTGGGATCCATACAGATTAGGGTAAATTAATAAACTGGACGCAGTTCAAAGGAGGGCAGCACGCTTTGTAACAGGAAACTACCAAAGGGACAGCAGTATCACACAAATGCAGACCTGCCTTGAATGGGAAACACTTGAACGCAGGAGGGGAAAAAGTTGTTTAGTTATGCTGTACATAATCAACAAGGGAAAGGTGGGCCTAAAGCAAGAGGACTACATACAAGTATCAACAGGGTCAAGGTTAAGAAGAAACCACCAACGCTCAATAGAAACCTCCTTTGTCAGAAAGGATGTATATAAAATTATAAATACTCCTTTTTCCCAAGAACTGGACGAGCATGAAACGCCCTCGACCAGCAGTCTGTAATAGCCACATCTGTTGAGAACTTTAGAAACACACTTTAGCATGCATCACCTGCCATACAAGTTAGCGACATGCGGAATACCGCCCTGCTGACTCCAAATTCAGAAGGCTCAGAAGATTATATCATAAAAGACAGCCTGGGAATATTAGAAGTGAGAAGATAGATCAACAAATTCAGATAGCATCGGCCTCATTGGAAAGGGCATAAATAAACCTCTAAAAATGGAAACGGGAGAGAAGAGTGGAAGACTACAAGTATTTCGGAGAGAGAAAACAAATAACAAACAAAAGAGTGTTCTAAGAAAAGAGAAGGACAAAGTGAAAAGAAATGTACCAGTACTGGTACAGAGAAGGAGCATTATTATATTACTGAAATTGTTAAATAAAATGCACATCTAAAATGTTGGAACCATGGCATTACTTTAATTTTATAGCATAAGCCCAGACTCAGAGCTGGGGACCAACCCGGAATCTATTAAAATTGATGAAAGCTGAATCAATTAGAGTTAGTCTAGAATGTCTGTTACAATAAATTACAAGTACATAATTATGTGCAATGCCAAGATAGTTTGGCAAAGTTTCCAGAAACTTTAGAGGTAGACACTGTGACTGCACTATTACTGCCACTTAACCACATGAAATTGAAAGAAGTAAATTTGCTAAATTATAACCCTACTGAATGTGTAACAGACTCACGGTACAGTTCTATCATGAGACCTAGCTTAATCAGATTCTACTATTTCACATTGTCAGCTCAGCTTGTATGCGAGCCATTATTCAAATTTTCAATTCAATTCATTTATTTTTCCTCTTTCAATTGTTACAATGATGGTACATTTTTACATATTCGCATATTATTAATATGCATATAGATCTAGATCAAGATCAATTTGCACAATACAATACATTAAATAAAAAAAACATGAAATTATGTGTGCCTGCATACCGGGGCTGTGACGCAGTGTCCATTGCTCAGGATGGACTGTAGTGTAGTGGCCACGTATACTTGCGCGGTAGCTGTAGCGGGGTAACTATCGCGCCGAACCTACCCGATGGCACGGCCTTTGTTTGCCGCTGACGCCATACCCCCCAAAAAAGCCGTAATATGTGTATGCAGAGTATCGAGTAGCGCACACACCTAACAAAGCACAATGCTCGGAGGAGTTCAAAGAAGGCCATGATATTCCATCAAAATATAAGCACTTCTGCTCATTTAATCTCATCAAATAACCCATCATCACTTCCGCACAACTTTCATGTACATCTTCCAGGGTTTACTTCTTCAAATTATGTTTACCAAAAAACTTACTAGCTTTTTACCGAGTAGTGGCGCTCGCCTTCCTTGTCAATTTCTAGCCATAGCGGTCGGGGAAATACAGCGGTGTGTAGCCGCATGCAAAGAATGGCTATGAGCAGCTGAATTAGCATACTTTGGCCAACGACAAAAGGCACCCGGAAATGTAATATGGCTGGAAAATTACATTTAAATAACAAAACGGGCGGCTTATCAATACTCTACTGACAACATTTCCGTAGAACGTTAATAGATTAAATGCACTAGCTAGCTATCATTTCATCTAAAGTACGGAAAATGGCAGAAAAAATGTTTTAAAACGCGTATTATTTAAGGGGAATCAAAGAAAGAGAGGTTGACGATTCATCAAAGATTGTGAAAGAAGCGTCTGGGGGCGCGCTGTCGAAAGGAACATTACAAGAAAATGAGCTAACAAAATAACTCACCTTTTCTACGAGAAGACCAGAGAAACCTCAAAATCACTAGAAATAGTGTTTTAAATGCCTTTTGGTCCAAAAAATCGAGTCAAAATGTGAGTTTTTAATGAAATATCCAACTCAAATGAATGGCGAACGCCGATAGCAAGATGGCGCTCTTGTAATGCGCATGCGTGATGACAACACCAGACTAACTCCCTGCGCATGCGCTCATCAAAACGCGGTACTTTGAATTGGTCATTTTCGGATCAGTCTACACAAAGTATAGGGTGTTTTTTTTTAAAGTGTATATCTTGCCTTCATTTGTTTGTTGTTCGCTGCCAAAGATTTTCTTGTTTTCAAAGATGTTCTGTCTTTTTTTTCTTCAACATCATAGTTGAATATTATATTTACACTATTCAACTGTATTTCTCTTCTATTCTGTTTCTTTCTCAGTTTTTCTTCCATTTACTATTTTTTTCTTTCCTATATCAACGTCACTGTTATATATGTAATTCTCATAATAATATCTTTATTGTTCTCTCAGTAACTGTGTTATTGGCGTTCCTAACTCAAGCTATGCTTTTCGCCTCTTTTATCTGTTATCTGAATTATTTACTGTAGTATGTTCATTTTATTATTTATTTTTTATTTAGGGCCTAGGTTTTATTTCCACATTAACTGCATATGAAAAGAATTCACAAAGTAAGGCATATACAAGGTAACAAAACATGTACATATAATCGATAGATACAACAGTAAAACAAATTAATGGCAAGCAATTAAATACAAATGATGCTAACAATAATCTACAGTAAGCCTAAGAAGGAAACCTTGGAAGCATTATGCTTGTAATTAAGGTTCCCTTTACACAGTACGTTTGTTACATAATATATAAAACAAACAAAAACAAAAACAAAAGAAGAACAAAAACGGGTGTGTGGTGCAGCCAACCAACAAAATGTTGATAATACCGATGGTCTCCATCACTCGATGACCTTAAGAATTTTCATACTGAAGTAGAAGTTTATGTTTCAAGTATTTGAAAGTTGTTGAAATCATTGTTATTATAATGTATACATACATTGTGTTTCATAATTGTACCATTGAGAAGGAAATAAAGGTTAATAAATACAAACGAAAAATGTTTCTTCCATGCCCCAGAATGGGCCGTTTAAGAAATAAAAATCATTGTCATTGGGCCAGTATTAGTGATATCGCAATCAAATTGGACAAGGTCAAGGAATCGGAAAAATCTTATAATAATTGATTGATTGATTGGTTTTATTCGCCATATGCCTCGACTCTGATCAACAAAGGCCTACAACAAGAATAAAAGAATAAAAGATCAAAATGCAAGTCGGCTTGAACAGGATAAGCCATTAAAAAAAAAATGTTTTAATTAGCATCCTGCATGCATTTTTGAAAAAAAGGGAGGAGGAGGCCTTTTTTTTACCCCCTTCAAAATGGCCGCATTTTCCCTGACGTCCAGCCGGTCAGGCTATTTTTGTTTTCTTTACAGTTATTATCATAACTATCGTTTTTAACACTGACGTATACCGTATCTTGTGATCGAGCCACTCTCCAAATTGAATGCATGATTGAAATTTGTCTTAAGTTGCCAATTAGTGTTTGATTAACTGTACATGAACTTTCAAAAATTCATAACTTCTAACTTTTACTTGTTTGTTTTTAACCTTTCACTGACCTGTTTCAAGTTCATTTTTCTGCTTCTTTTAAACCAACTTAATATCAGGGTGGACTTTTTTTATACAAAACTCACAACAAAGCAGCAAAGAACAGATATAGTATTTTTGTAAATGACAGAATGCGCCATTCCGTCACAACAGGAAAACGTTAAAACTATGTAATTGTACTTTGCGATTACTTAAAGAATTATTAGGCCTATATCTTGCAAGAAAAATGGTCCAAATTAAGAGAAATGAAGAAGAAAAAAACTGAGCCGTATTGGAAATGCATGACTCGCTCGCTTCTGTTTCTCACAGTACGTCTTAATTGCCAAATAAGCGCTTACTCATGTTATAAATATAACGCCTAGTTCTAGACCATATTCTTGTATAATTTGTTTCATATCGCGGCCCGGCTAGCTTTGCATCTAAAGGTAGGCTACTCCTTTTCTAACTGAAGTTATCATATTTTGCATGTACGGAAGAGGGGAATCAAGACATGGAAACGTGATGATATAAGTCAAAGAATGAACGATGCTTCGTATCATTGTTCAGGCTTATTAATATTATAAAAACGGGTCCATATCGAAATAGAACGGACTTATATACATTATAGGCCTAGCTAGTATGTTCAGAAGAGAGTGCATGGATATGCGAACGGCATTATTTTACTGCAAATATCGCGGTCTTGTGTCTACTTAAGACGTAGGGGCCGCCCCCCACCCTGGTTCCTTTGCCCCTGGAAAAATAATGGCTGTAGTGATTAACGGAATAACGAAAATAGGTATACGGCCCCCAGGATACTAATTTTATTCTAATTATTGAAGGGGAAAAAAGACATAAAAGATAAGATGCATATATGCATGCAGCCATCAGTATTTATCCAGTTCTCACACACACATTGGCATATTTAAGAACTCCCCAACCTGACTCTTCAACATAATATACGCTGACAATTTGGTCAAGCTGGCATGCATGTCAACATGAAATGATGCCGCAACTGCATTACTACAGGAATATTCAAGAGACCATATTTTTTTTATCAGGCGGATAACAATATATATTTAATAGAATTTCCTTAGAAAGTCATACAATATATCCTCTATTTCTTCCAAAAACCAGAAGAAGAAAAAAAAACTGAATAGAAATAGAGCTCTATGACATCACACAGGGGCGGATCTAGCTTTTTGCTAAGGGGGGGGGGTTTGACCAAAATAATGACGATGCAGAGCATCGTCCACGAGCCGCGAAGCGGCGAGCCGATTTTTTTTGGGGGTGTTTATTTGAACCCCGTAAGTGATGTTTTCCTGGCATCTATTAACACAATGGAGACCATAAAAAGCAGTGCATGATAACGTCTTTTTAAATCAAGTAACAGTTTAATACACAGTTATATCCAGAGTTATCATGTGTTTGGTTAAGTTACCAGATGAGTTGAATATCTTCTCACAATATTTGCACTTGAAAGGGTTTCTCTCCAGCGTGCGTTCTTTTTTCTTTCTTTTTTTCTTTCTTTTTTTCTTTTTTTTCCCTTTTTTTTTTCTTTTTTTTTCTGGGCCGCCCAAGGGGGGGGGGGTTTAAACCCCCTAAACCCCCCCCCCCCGTAGATCCGCGCCTGTCACAGCCCAATGAACCGAGGTAAATTGGAGATTCTCTCTTTCATTACGGCGCCTATACTGATCTTTCAATAAATGTCACTTTCAATAATTTTCTTTCTTCATGCTTGGTCCCAATTTTTTTATTATTCCACGGATAATAAATTAAAACTTTGGATTTTTTTGGGGCTACGGGTCCGAGCCTGGCGACATTTATTCTTCTCCAAGAAATCATGTTCAACAAAGATGTACACAGACGATGATATTAGTGTGCATCTTTCCCAACCCCCTATTTTTCTTCTAGATATCACCCCGTCCCCCAACCGTAACTCTAAATCCGCTCCCTCTTCTAACCCCACCCCCACCTTCCTCTCTCTCTCTCTCTCTTTCACTCTACGTATAACTGTCTCAGCCTCTTTTTCCTTTCTTTCTCTCCCACTGTCCCTCTCTCCTTTTCCAAAGTCACCTAACTTCCATATTCCTTTTAAAAATCTTGGTTAATATTTAAGTCATTCCACTTTGTATATTCATTAAAAGAATTATATGAATGCTAAAATAATTTTTAAAAAACTCTGTATGCAACACAGATTACAATTTGACAAAAAATATGAATCAATATACCTGTATTTCATATATTTGAATAAAATTACAATGTTAAGAATTTAAATCTGATTGTCTAATAAGACACAATTGGCAGCAGAGTCAATCAACTACATTTAAAAAACACTATTATCAATACACTTTAAACAAATGTACAATTATACTGCATAGTGAACCAAAATTATCAATATTGCTATTTGCTTTAGATTTCAAGTTAAGGGCATTGGAAAGTAATTAAAAAATAACAGACTACAAAATATTACATTTAAAAAGGGAAACCAATTGTTTGAAATATATTATAACTTGATTTCAGGCATTGTAGGCCCTGAAATTGAAACACTTTTGTTTTTCCTTTTAGAACAGTGGCCCTGATAATCAGACATAAGAAAAAACTGTGATTATTGCTTAAAAGACTTACATAAGTGAAAATATTCTCAAATTTACGCCTGATCATTTTTCTGTATCCAACGACACAGAGATTAGTGAGTACACTTTAGGTGCAGATGCATACTTCACACACCCAC